CACTAGTTAGGCTAATTGGTCGGTAATTCTCAGGCTTATGTTTTGTACCTGTTTTGAAGACTGGACTTACTATGGCGTTCTTCCAGTCTTTTGATAGACGACCCTGGGTTACGGATAGATTAAAACATACACTTAAAGGGTTTGCAACAAAGTTAGCTAATTCCTTTAGTAACCTAGGATGCAGTTCATCGGGTCCAGTGGATTTACCTATGTCAAGCTTAACTAGCAGACCAAAGACATCGAGTTCTTTAATGGTTACGCTGTCCAGTGCTTGTGTGGGGGGATTTTCATGGACTGGTGAGAAGGGTGTTTCTATGGTGTATACATCGCTAAAGTATTTAGAGAATACTTGAGCTTTGCCAAAGTCGTCCTCCACTAGTGATGTGGCAGTACTGTCTCCCCATAGTGAAGGAACATTTCTTCTTCTTTTTGTCCTTTGGTTTATATATGAATACAAGCGTTTAGGGCATTCTATGGATTCCTTAACGATTTTCTCTTCGTACAGCTTTCTGGCCTTACGGAGGGTCGAGGCACAGGTATTTCGAGCCTTTTGATACTGAGATTTTGCCTCGTCAGTCCCCAGTAACCTAAATCTGTCCCACATTTTCCTTCTTTTACGGAGAAGGATGCGAACCTCCCTACTGAACCACGGTGGGGAGTTTCTCGGCCCCCTAAGTGTAGTCCAAGGGATGTGGGGGGCGGTGCCAATCAACTTTAGAACTCCACCATCGCTAATAAAGTCGCATGAAAAGCCTGAAAGGCGATAGGAAGGTGGAAAACATCCAATTTTATGAACTATGTCCGTGTTGGCTCCCTTTGAATGTATGACAGATCCCAGTCGTCGGAGATATTGATGTTGACATGAATAATATAGAAAACAGTTTATAGGATATATGAAAGAGCTAAGCAAATGAGTCTTCGGCCAAATAGCACGACGACAGGCGACAGGATGAAGATGCTGCAGAAAGAGATGTTTTGTGCAGCGGTCTGTCATAGTTGACACAGAATGAAAAGCCACGAAGATGGTCGCGAGATAGCTTCCTCAACAGAAACCGATCATCCTCCAGAAGACGCCTAGGTTCATTGATAGGCTGGTACCATAGAATTTACGGCTATAGTGCTAGAAAGGGAAGACGACCTTGCAGATTTAACATAAGAAGCGAACGATTCCGACGATTGTCCATGGCAAATGCATCAGCTGGTGTAATTCCTACAAGCAGCCGCCTGTTTTAAATAGAAGACAGAATAAAGGGTGCACAATTTCCAAGATGGTGGGGAATAATTCTCGGTTGATACTGGGGCAGGAATCAGCGTCGTCAACGCACTTTGTGATTTTATCTAAAAATTACACATTTAGATCAGTCTTTTGAATCACTTTATAACAGTACTTATTTGTGCTACTGGCTATCTTTGCAAGGATTTCAGTATCCTCAAAATTGAAACTCCGTACAATAAGTAATAACGCCGAGACGTTTGCTCAATTGCAGGCAAAAGCTAGACATTATTGTAGCTTTCTCATATGTGTCCCATCTAATTTCTGAAATATAATGATTTCACGGGTTATGTATCTAACTAGAGAAGATAATATTAACAGCTCAGTAGGGGTTATTGTCACATAAAGCAGATAAATAGCCGTTGAAACCCTAAATGAATCTAATATCTTCACTATTAATCTATTTCCCACATGAAAGTAAGACAAAATCGTGAAAATCAGCTTCAATAGTAAAAACGGAGACAAATACATTAAGTATTATAATGGTGTCATTGATTGTTGCGCGATTTTGTCAGTCTCGACAACAATACAGTTTCTACGATGATATATGCTTTATTGACGTTATTTCACGAGGAGGTAAATCATCTCTCTACTTTTAGTGTATGCCTGGGTGTAAATCAATGCTAGTCTGCGATAAAATTTTGGAGAACCTATTGTGGCAGCATCTGATCAATGAATTTCAGGAATTTCTCAATACAATATGCTGCAAATTGAAAAGACCCTTTCCATTTAGTTTTGAACTGGGAAAATAGCTTCGAAAGTTTATTTAGAATTGGTTTAGACTTTTGACCGTGTACAGAGTAGAAATAAAAAAAGCATCGCTAAAGGTGTCGTGATAACAGTGTCGTTGCCAACCAGAGCTACACAAACGTGCAAACTCTTCAATTGAACGGCGTTGGGTCAATTAAACAGCGTAAGTCTGGTAAAACTGTCCATACAAACGACTGACTTTGCTAAGTAGAAAAGTGATCTTTTTATTCCTTGAGATCTGCGTCTCGATCGTAAGAGTGTTTTTGATTAGGGAACATTATGATTTTTGTGTTGTTTCCGAAAGCGTGTGATGAAAAGTGGTCAGGTAGTAACTCATTGTGGACCTCAGTACTTCCAGAGATAAAGTGTTGAGCCTCCTTTTCATAAGCTGCAAGCAAGTACTGTAACTATTGTCTTTTGTAACACATAATGGGAAAGTGGAATCCCGTAGGCATAACGCGAGTGAATACTTCAGGAACATTATTCACCATTCTCATCCTGCATCTTTTGATTGAGAGAGGGGAATTTTCTGTTGATCTGATCGTCTTATCTGTCCAAGTCCTGCCAAAAGGTCAATCAGTAAACAGAGATCTGGCATGTCCAGTCAAATCTCGGGATTATCTAAGAGACTTGTGTGCACCGAGTAGCTTTGCTCCGCCGAGAGAACCTGTAATGGTATTAGTTTTTGACTACATGATTCTCGAGGCTGAACGTATAACTACTGAGTGGACTGACACTCAAAATGAAATACTTTGTGGAGTTCAGTGGTGATGAACGCATAAAATATTGAACGTTATGGGATGGCTAAGTCTTGCAGACGTGGCCATTCCATGTAACTTGTCTTTATTCTCATTAAAAAATCATTCCATTTCCGGTTAAAAGGTGTGCTTTAGTAGTGCTAAACGCCATATTGCTGATTGTTATGATACGAGTCAGTGTAGACAATGATGTGAATTCCAAGCAAGATCTTATAGATTAGGTAACATAATGACAAATCTGTAGTGGTATTGGATCGTAAGCACCCGACCTTTGAAGCCGAGCATATATATTTACTGAAAAGGTTTGTATTCAACGATGAACACGAAGAGAAGGTTAATAATGGAGAAGGTGGGAAGAATTATTGCAGTTAATCTGAAGGCATGGCTCAGCCTTGCAAATGTGGTCATCCTTGTGTGACGTACCTGTTTTATCCATATTAAATATATTGTTGTATCCCTAACCTAAATGTGTTCTCCATCATATACTGGTGATTCTCACAGTAGGACGAGGCAGTGTAAACAATTATGTTACTTCCACGTAAGATCTTATATATTAGGTAGTCACATAGTGGCGTATCTACAATTTTAGGATTGGGTCTATTATTATAGCAGTACTAATAACGAAGTATATCGTAATTCTACAAATATACGATTTTGGGATTATGTTCATTGTTAGACAAACAATAATACTGGACTAGGACTTAATACTACGATTGGAAGTCCGATGCCATGAAAACACCCAGATTCAACTGGTCTCAATCTCTACTATTTCTTTGATTTTACTACCTTCCTACTATAAAATCACAAGGCCTCATTGAAAGAGATTGGTGCAGAGTTAAACCAATATAAGTAGATCCTACGATGACAAATGCAACAGAAAACTTATGGTTAGTGGCTTAGTAGTCTCAGCTTATGGAATAGACTTCATCGGGAAACCCTGTTTCAGTATATCAATATCACAGGTATTCGGAATTCGACAAGGCCTTTACATCTTTATAATCGAAGTATTCCGACTCAGTGGAGTCAGAAGTCAGGAATGAAATGGTTCAAAGACATATTTGAGAAACTACTGATATGTCTAGAAACGTCTTTTCTAGACTGTTAAGTAGTTACAGTGAATACGTGACACAATGTACCCACCCGTGATCTCGTGCGGATGCATGACCGTACGCCTTCAGCAAAAGTGTATCCAATAAAACTAATGAGGTCAGAATCAATGTCGAAAACTCACAGACCAATTTGTTTTGTGATTTAGTTACTGCTACACGTCTGCCACACATGCTACACCCGAAATGATCCACACACGAAGCCTGATATAATGTATACAAGAATAGCACAGAATTCCGAAAAACAACTGATAGTATAGTTCACAGTATGCTGAACGTTCCTTATCGTTATGACGAGAACTCAGGGATGCTGTATCACGTTCGCCTTCCGAAACAATAAATATTCAAGTCTATGGGTGGTCTGAAGTCTAATTTATAACGTATTTAATAATATAACATAAAATGAGATGATTTATGTATTAATATACTTCATGGAGCCAAAATCTGAATTTTTTTGTCTCTTTAACCCCTATTTTAACATATTTCCTCATTTTCAAACTTTCGTTTGATCCAAAAATTCTTTCTACTTACTTTATTATTCCGGGTTAACCGTTAACCGGACATTCTATTATCAATGTGGAATGGTATAAGTTACGAACACATTGAAAATTCTTGATTGTATAGCTGTGTGATCGTACATTTCAAGCATCATATTCTTCAGGTTTCCCGTCACGGATGAATTAATCATGATTGAGAATTGACCTGCTTTGCATCTTCATCTTTTGATTGGCACATTGGCGAAGTGGTCGATATTCAGTATATATTAAAGCCTTGTTTATTGTTCAATGGTCCGTATATCAACGATAATATAAGTCTCCGGTTCAATTGGAAATATAGGTAAACTAATAACCACAATGCCTTTTCTATCCTTATAGTCCGATCTCAAAGAATCTACTGAAACCCAATCAAGCAATGTTTTTTTTACTAGACTAATAAAACTTCGTTATGCTTTGAAATTAAAGCTATAATCATCATTTTTACACCAGACTTTCTCACAAAATTTTCTACTGACGCTGCTCTAGCAGCTTCATAGATCGAGTCTATTTCCTAAATGTTGCCTGCAAAGGACGTTTCTAGGTCATTCTTAACCGCTGTATTCAGGCATTTTAGTTGATGGCGATTGTGGAGGCGAGTCACAATACTAACGCACACCTTGAAGAAAGTCTACCAAACTACCAGGTTGAACTAGACACCACAGAAGAAAAGTTGTGCCTCAATTCCTTTATTTCATGATTCTACAGTTATGTAGATTCATACGGGTCCACTTGTGTTCGTTGTGGCGACCCCTTTCAACTAAATGAAAAAGTTGTGCAGACAAAAGATAGCAGTTACCACGTTAAATGTTTTGTGTATGTTTAAATTAGACGTTTTAATTCTTCTTAGCTGTGTACAGTGTTTTCAACCATTCCCGGAAGGCGTTTATTATGAAGTAATTACGTGAGGTACTTCATGCTTTTACCTTAGTTTGATGGCCGAAAATACTGTGAACATGATTTTCACGTTTTATTTGCGCCATGTTGTGGAAAGTGTGGTATAGTCTTTTTCAGATAATGTCACTTTTCATTAGGATGTTTTATAATTGGCAGGGTAATAAAGGCAATGAATTATAACTGGCATCCTGATTGTTTCCGTTGTCACATATGTGATAAGTGTCTTGCAGATGAGGGGTTTGTCAAATTACATGGAAGGTAATATTTTCTCCAATCTGAGTTACTTCATGGACTCAAGTATTATTCTCACAATGGCTTTTAAAATTATTTATGACCTTGTTTCTAGAACCTGAAAACATGTCATTATTCAGTGTTTTAAGTGCGTCAAATAGTTCTAGTTTGGTGGTAAATACCCCAATCGTCGAATAGGTTCTGGGGGATGCCATGTTCAATGACATTTCTCTTTATTCTTAAAGTTGGTGCTTACCAGACTTAGGTCCTTATCTAAGCATAGTTGCAGCAGAAGGCCTTCACTATCTGTTCGCTGAGCAGGAACAATGTAATGTCCTAAATCCCTCCACTTTTGTTTAAAATACGTAACTGGACGATGAAATCTGCTACTGTTACTACATTCGAGCGTCTGGTTGTTTTTTTTAGTAGAACATAAAGCTTCCTGTAAAGCTCATCGTTCACTCCATCCAAATGGCGATCAGTGTGAATGTAATCAGAGGCAATAGAAAGAAAACAGTGTGTCTCTATCCCTATAGTTCTTCATAATATTTTCGCTTTCATTTCACATCTATATTTTTCTCTCTAATCTTATCTTAGATGCTTAATCCTTCCCCGTAACACTGATACTGTCACTACCTCTACTATTCTGGGATTCAGCCTGACAATCTAATCTCTGCTGTATATGGAAACGTGAGCCAATGTACATACGTACGTTGTGGCTGATTGACTTAAATGCTGTATGCGCGTTTCAGAGATGCAAAACGCATCGACAACGCGAGATTCTAGAATCGTAGCTAAAGAAGTCTGTCATCCTTTCTGGCACAGGTTTCAAATATTAAAAGTTCCAACATGTAGTTTGGAGCGTCATAAACGGAACAGCACAGTTTTGAGAATAATAAGGTAGTAAAAAGACGAAATGTAGATGAAATACAGAACCAGGCAAGTAAAAATAATTAAAGTTGATAGCATTTGAGATAAATAGTCTTTTGGAGCATTAGTAATGTTTAGTAGGTATCGTATAATAGTAAGAGTTTGATCTTGCTCTGATTATTAAGAATTCCTACGCATCCATTCACCTTGTTCATCTAGCTGTTATATTTCTCATTTATGTATTGACCAACCAACCTGTGCTATATTTACTCAAACAGCCGTAGTTTGGGCAGAGTTTATTTGCTATAACTGTGTTTCACACATTTCATCGTTTTAGCCCTAATACCAATTGTTTCCTAACTTTGTAGCAGATATTCTTATGGACAATGTACTAAAGTTTGTGTATTTATGAATCGATTTCCTATTTCTAGACACCGTAATTGACCTGAAACACACAAAAGAGTATATAACAAAATAATCTTGTGAAGATAATTCAATTTGATTGGAAAGTAATTTATACGAATATTCGTCAATATTAAAACGAATAGTTTGATAAAGACTGGGCGTCGAGTATAGAGAAGTCATTATATGTGAAAATTATATTTGAAATAATCTCAGCGATTGAAATTGTAATTATTCCGACGTTTCGTCCAGCAAGCGTATCTGGACTTCTTCAGAGTAATAATCGTCCAGATAATTTTGCTGGACGAAACGTTGGAATAATTAAAATTTTAATCGCTGAGGTTATCTCAAATATAGTTTTCACATATAATCATATGAAGACTAAATAAAATTAGCGTAATTAAGTTCATAGTTGAAAGCGTGAGTCAATTGAAGCTAGACCACCATGGAAAACCTGGATACACTGGACGGCCGTTTCGTAATTAAGTTCCCCACCTTACCGTAAAAATATCTTCAGGACTAGTGTATTTTGATGTTTAACTTGACAATTCAAAGTAAGATAGTTGAGGTCCACTCCTATCAGTAAAAATTAACTTCAAGTATATTTCTCGAGAATTTCTTGTACATTACTGTTATATCTTGTGGCCGAGTGGATGCCTAGTTAATGTGTGACTTGAGACCGCCAATCAGGGAGCAGCGAATTATTGATTGGAACAGTGATACAAGAAAACCGTACGAGCAGTCTAGAGCACTAACCGGTCCCACTTCTGCGTAGCCCAGCCAGTTAAGTCCAAAACACCAATAACAGCCTCAGTAATATGAATCATTATTCACAAACATACTGGATTTATATACCAATCAAACAGATCACATCGTACCATAAGATAGAAAATAACATTTGTACAATATTTAGCCAAATGTGGTTGTGAATAGTAATCAATAAACTGATGATAACTCAAGAATCGTATAATAATAGTTCAAAGGTCAAAATAAAGCTAATAATAAGAGGAAACGAATATGATTAGGTTAGTTACAATAGGAGATATACATATCACATTGGCCAATAAATAGTCCTCAAAAGTTACCATTCACAATTCTCTTCGGGATACAACAATTACGTCTGTGAAACAGGAGCTAAAAGTGTAGGAAATATCGGTTTAAATATACTTGATTATGAATGAATCTGAAACATAGTTTGTGTATATTGATATAGAGCACTAGCTAAATAGTATATGAGGTTGTCAGTCTTCAATAACATCTGTTATTCCTGTTCACAGCCGAACGCGCTAACCGGTTGCGCCACGGAGGCGCAAATGCCCTGGTGCGGCCGAGAGTGGTGAGAGTCCGCTCTTCCTCTCGAAATGCTCTCACATGGCCAGCGAATATATAGCCTCTGTCAGGGAAGTCCTACTCACTGCCTTCTCGTGGTGGCGGTGTTGTTTACGAAATTGAGAGGACGAAAAGCGAATGTCCGGTGCTTTAACCGGGTTGGTGGACAAGGCGAGTTCACCTAGGGGAGTTGGAAAACCCTGATTCTAAACCAGTGGTGCACATGGGCTCCAGTATCCTGAGGGAACAAGTGGCGTACGAATCAATCATTGATCACCGGCTACCATGGGACTGCATCTCCTCACGATGCTCCACTACCTTGTGGATCAGATCTTTCGGTCAAAGGCTCCGGGTGTGGGCCCTTAAGAAAACCACCTGCTTCAGTTCGGGCACCTGGGCGGTATCACAGCCCTCACACAAATCGAATGAGATTTGTGAGGCGCATATGTATCTGGTGCTTCCTTGTACCAATTTATATGTTATTCCTGTTCAGCTACTGCCTATCACTTCTTGGAGCTGTAGAAATGTTTGGAAGGTTAATTATGACGAGGGACAATAATGCATTGGTCCATGAAGTTACTGAATGCTTTTAGTTGAATATAAAGATTTGGGCTTTCCCGACAAATCATATGACTATTAGTTATGGCTCTGGTTGATATTACTCAAGACCTATCACAGTTGCACAGATTCATGTCCCTAAATCGTAAATACAGTGTGATTGAATATCTTTGATTCAATTTAATATATTCATTTTCTATTAGATAATTATCTTAAAATTTGCAGGTCACTTGTTTGAACCGTATTTCAATTACTAAAGCTTAAGCCATTGATTAATATTTATAACTTCATAAAAAGTGTGACCTGTACCTTAACGTGCGAACTTGTGTGCACTTTCTGTACAATATAAGAGACTTACCCTCTCAGTTTTACGTACAGACATACAATGGGATATTTTCATGATTTGAAGAGCAGACGGAGTAACGTAATGTGCACGATTTAAACCACAGTTATTGGTCCAACGTAAGACTTCATCACTATTATGTTCATGACCTTGGTCTGGTGGTTATGTTTTTAGATCACCGATAGATTATGAATATGGCTCAGATAATTTTTCTGGTCAGTTTTTTTAACAAGGTTCTTTTCTATGGGATTGGATTATCAACTCTATCTCATCTGAGCTTGGGACCACCAGTAACCCTAGAAGGGCTCAGGCGGAGTTACCGATAGATTGTTATGTGTTCATATTTGTTCCGAACTCTCAAACTGTTGAACATATTTTTTTATAACATTAGAGCTGTTTGCCATGCGTGTAATGAACACGAAAAAGCGTCTGGTTTGTCATACATCACATGTCACAAATGCCGAGCTGTTGTGGAAGAAGGACAACAGTTAAAGTATCGCTCTGAAGTATATCATGCATATCACTTTTCATGTGCATCCTGTGGTTCTGAACTTTCTTCCGATGCCCGAGAAAAGGATGGAGATTTGTACTGTCTTCGCTGTCATGATAAAATGGGAATACCCATATGTGGTGCTTGTAGGTAAGACGTACTTTTAAACTAAAGGGTTAATTATAAGGCTTATTGTAATAGCTACTGACGTAAAATGTTTTAAGAGTGACGGCTGAAACTTTTTCGATGGAGCCATACGTCAACACAGTAAACTTTCATTCTTTCGATCATGGACTGAAACTCAGTATAGATTTCCAAGGTTTAATTATTTTTTCCCCAAAAAACTCAAATGTCTGTACTAAGTTGTTCAAAACTGACGATCTATTAATTAAATCACTCGTTTTTCAACGTTTGAGTTGCAGAGTCGAATCCCCCTTGATTTACTTCCATTTGGCAGTTGGCTAGGACATCACTAGTTTCTACAAATTGTGTTTCTAAACAGAGAAATAGCCCATGCTTATTGATTTCCACCAAAGTTTGTTAAAAAGATTTTGATTGAGATAATAATATATTACCTGTTTAATTTCTGTAGTCCGTAATGTTCCCTTCATAGCTTAATATCGGAACAACTAACAAAAATTGAGTTTCATGTAATATCGTCATACGACCAAATACTTTCGACCAAGTAATGTTGTTATATATGTTCATGAGAGTTTAATCACTTTGATGCTAAGAAACAATTATCTGATACATGTTGCTTTCCTTTGCATCTTCCACCAAAATCAGTCCGTGATGGTGACAATCTTCAAAGTAACTCAGGATGAGGATGTTCGAATTGTTGTTTTCTGAGCTAAATGGTTTAATTATGAAGCTTTTACTGTCCTTTTAGACATCTGTTTGAATTATGTCCTGTTGGTGTGATCAAGAAGCTTTTGTAATGAAGCCATCTAGCTCAGAAAACTCAACACTTCGGACATTCTCATCCTGAGTTACTTTGAAGATTGTCACCATCACAGACTGATTTTAGTGGAAGAAGCAAAGAAAAGCAAGAAGTATCAAATAATTGTTTCTTTGCATTAATATCCCCCATTAGTACCTATTCAGTTCAGGATTACTATGTCTTTTGAGAATGTTCAATAGTTACGATTACTTAAATTAAACCATAATTTTTTACGCGAAGAGAGCAGCAACTAGTAGTTTGAAATTCTAACAAACTATTGAATCGCTAGTCCAAACCTTCAGTCCTTCGACGATAAATGTAACTTAAAGTCTAATATATGACTGTAGTTGTTTTAGGATTATTTTAATTTATTCTACGTTTCAATAACTCGCCTGATTACTGATAGGCTAAGGTACATAGTAGTAAGTTTCTAAAATAGTAATCTTTAAAAAACACAGTCCAGAAATTTTGAAAGGAATTCGACGTTTTATCCCTAATTCGATGTGTGGTTAAAAGAATTGTTTCAACCATAACATAATCATGGTACGTATACGCCTATTTCTTTTCATAATTGTCATTTCAGACGCCCTATTGAAGAAAGAGTTGTTCATGCTTTAGGAAAAACATGGCATGTGGAACACTTTGTTTGTGCCCGATGTGAAAAACCGTTTTTAGGTTCTCGCCATTATGAGAAGAAAGGCTTAGCATACTGTGAACTACACTATCAGTTGTTGTTCGGAATGCTGTGCTATTCTTGTAATCAGGTAATACCTGGGGAAACAGTGTATGCATTAAATAAGGCTTGGTGTGTAGATCATTTCGGGTGTAGCGTGTGTGACAGACGCCTGAGTCCGAAGTAAGCGAATTGTTTTTGGCAATATTTGTTCCATTTAATCAGTGTTTGTTTATCTAGGTGAAGATTAGATCCTTTGAAGTATATGTAGTGCTTATAATTCAATAGTTTATATTGTTCCATGCTGTTCACGTGATACATGATCCAAAGGTAGCTCATATTTCGAAGTCAGCCATACAAATTATGATTGTCCTATACTTGGAGGTTTAAAATGTAGTTATCACCTCTATCCACTGCACATGTATCAAAATAACAAGTTAGAACTAGTTATCAATTAGAAAAACTAAGCGGCTTTAGGAGTCTATTTCTTCATGATTTATTTAAACAAATAGTGGATGCATCAAATATTAACCCACAGATCTGACAATATAGTGGAATGATATGATAGCTTTGTAAGTACTACTAATTTCGGTAAAACTACGCTTGCTCAGTATTCGGCTACCCGGAAAGCGTTTGTTCTCCCTGTGTTAGATGCTTAGCTGTATTGTTAAATAACATCGAGGGGATGCAGTTTCTTTGTTCTGCTAACCTCGTCGATATATAAGTGCGTTATCTATTGTCAGGACTTGGTTAGTTAGAAAGTCATGATTTTCGTAACGTTTACTATTTATGTCGCACAATAAATAGATATTCCATTTAATGAAATAAGAAATAGTAGTAACCACTGTAGTGTCGATATTACTTATGTGCCGACAAGTGCTACTACTCGCGATCACCAGAAAATTGACCACTTAAGCTTCTTTAATAATGCAGAAGGGATACAATGACTTCGAATTACACAGAAACGTATAATCTGTGATTAGTTTTAGTATTTTTTACAATAACTGGGACAGGAGTCTAAAAAATCTCATGACATCTCCAAGTAAAGCACACACTAATTGCATTTTTTTAGTTGATATCCTGTCACAAAAGTAATCATGATACGACATTTACATTAGGTGGGACAACATACGTCTAAAAATTTCCCTATTATCCAGTAAACCGTTTTACGAATGTTTCGATAAGAAGTTAAAGTACTTTCTCTAGTAAGATTTGCGGTGTTGATAAGAAATAGCCATAGCTTAGTTCCTGTAGACATAGGCATCACAGTGTTTAAGTATCTGACTAACGGACCTTTAATCAAATACTTTGAATCTTCTTTTTTTGTCTACAGAACCAAGTTTTATGAATTCGACTACAAGCCGGTTTGCAAATCTTGTTATGAGCTGTTCCCCATGGAATTACGTAAACGTATTGCGAAAATGCACAAAATGGAGGACTAACCCAAAATCTAAATTCGGTTTTATGATAAATTTGAACCTATCAACTCACTTTTACTGCGCTTCTATTACTTTACTATCTTTGACTATGTTTTGCATCTTAACTTTTGGTTTGCTTAAAATTGTAACTGGGTTCATTGCTATATTAATCAACAAACTAAAATAAAACACAAAAGTGCGCATTTATTTTTATGACAGATATGAACATTGAGAATTAATCACTAAAATATTATGTGACTGAGAAAAAAACTATACAAGTTTTTCAAGGGAAAGACCTTGGTTATGGTTGCTGGTTTTCCGAAGTTGGTGTGGCAAGATTCACACTCTCTTCTTTAACTTCGGTCTGTTTAAGAGCCTGTACCGACTGAGCGTTTTTGTTGGCAGTGAGTTGTTGTGTAAGTTTCCCAAGGAGTCCTGTATGACTGAGTTGTAAGCGCTGAGTGACCGGAGGCAATCGAGGTAATAAATTGACCAGTCGGGCAACGTCTTGTTTCATGTCAACCAGGATGTCTTCCATAAGTGTTAACACTGAAATAAACGGATGTGATATGAGAAAAGTGAGGTTGACGTATCCAGAAATTAAAAATCAAAAAGTTAAACCATCAACAGTTTAATCACGTAACCCACCTTTGTGTAGCAATGGTACTAAAGCTTTGTTTCCGGCAAGTGCATCATTGAATAAGTGAAGTTGTCCTGTAGCCAAACATTCAAGTTCTGTAAATCGTCTGTTCAAGCTTTGTATGTGCTCGGACTGGTCTGCTGCTATATTTAGAAGGGCTGCTCGACGGAGTTGCTCTTCGATTATTAGAGCTTGTTCTAAAAGTTTGAAGCGGCGAGCCAAAAAGCGGTTCTTAATTTCCAAAAAGTTGGCTTTCTGAGTTTCATTCTTAAATGGCTCATTTACAATTGCATAGTGAGGGTCATTGTGTATATCCTGTGTATAAGAATTCATAAACAAAACCGATATTTTAATAGGCAAAAGACATGGCACGCAGATATATTAACGAATATAAAGGATAGGTTTAGAGGAAAACTTATAAGAAGACAATCTCAATCACTTTTTTGTGTTGAACACTATGTACAATATCGGTAAGATCTCTTTTGTGTAGGGTCACTCAATTGGAGACCACTTTAACAAAAGTGAAGCAATTGTTTTGAGTTCACTGTTTCCTAAACCGAATCTAACCTAATAAGTACACATGGAAATAACTTGTAGAATCTGAGTATTCCAAAGACAAAGTAGTAATAATGTGTTTCTAGGTTAGCATTATCATGAAACAGGTTCGTCTACCAAGTTAAATGACTTAGTTTCAGATTGCATTATACAATCCCAAACAATGGGGAACTAATTACTACGTTTAGTATGACTCAAAATCTGACTACAATTGTTTTTATCATGAATATCTAACAAAGCGGTTTTCAAAAAATTGAACAAAAAGTGTACACGTACCTGCCATCTTCCATATCCATGTTGTACTACACCAGCCAGAAGCCAGTAATCGTGACGGCGGTGCCATATTTCGGCCTCTCTGTCTTTTATTAACGCACGCTGTTCATTTAACCATATTGTATGAAGTTCAGTGAAACCACCGTCAGCGATGTTGAACATAAAACGATGGCTAACTCTAGCATTTGTGTTTTGTAAGTGCTCCAGATTCCCATCCTCCTTTTCTACACATTCTGTTGGAACGCCCATAGAATCTACATGCAACTCAGGCTAAAGAACAGAAATAAAGAAACATTTTTTTACGAGAAAACTATATAGTTGAATGAAACTGCGAAACATTGGGCTATATGTGTTGGGGTGATCCAGAAAATTTCTCGAAATAGACAAGAAAGGCTCAGGAAACACTGAGAAGCATTTTATCCAATCAGAGTTCGGCTAGAAGTTTTGCTAGAAACATCACGAAAGTGAAAAGTCACATGTAGAGTTTCTGATTGGTTGACTACTACACAGTTACTATGTTTAGTATGAGTTTTCAGGGAAACCCGAGGACTTCTAACCCGACCGTTGCTGCTACCTTGACGTGGTGGTCGGGCTTGCCTATCGTGATGAAGCAATCGAGCTATGCTGGCTGGAACAATCGTTCCTCGAGGTCCTACCATGCCAGACAGGTCGATTGAAGAGCGGTGAGACTAAAAGCAGCAAACCCAAGGTCCGAAGGCGAAGTCGTACTGCTGACTGTACAGAGGTGTGAAAGCAGTAAGGTGTTTCCTTCAGACAACCAGCATGACAGCGATGCTGCCTTCCCACAAGGAGGGGTGGGGTTAGAAAAGGTCGACCCTAAAAATGCACACCTCGCCTTATCCCACGGATATCCGTCTCCGGCGGTAAGGTTTTTTTGAAGAACGGAGCTAACACAAAAACTACCCACAAAAAGGTCGTGTGTGACCGACCTCAAGCAGTTGTCCCTTGGGCACTGCGGTCACGCTCTCCGGTCATTAAGACCACTTCTAACCCAATTTCCTTTTCAGGTACCTCTAGAAGAATCCTTCCACGGTGTGGGCAACCGGGAAGTGATAACTGCCCTCATACCTCTAACAACACTCAAGACCACTGTATTCATAATCAATCTCCTTCTTCAATTCCTACTACCTTGACTTTCAACACTAAACTTCCTCTCTCGGTTTCCTACTCAAGTGTCACCATGGCCAACGATTCTAGTGCGCGAAACGCTGTCCCAGGTCTACTAAAACCTCGCTCCAAACTACACATTGGAGCCTTCAACGTACGTACTTTAAGTCAAATCGGTCAACAGGCCTCCTTAGCTAAAACCTTAGAGTCGCGTACCATTGATGTATGCTGTGTCTCCGAAACACGCATACAGGATCCTAGTGTGGTCATTCACCTGACCTCACCTCGCCAAAATGGACAGCCAACGAAATACACCCTCCGTGTATCTGGCGACCCGTTGGCTAGTTCTCGTGGACTTGCAGGTGTAGGTATAGCACTAAGTACAAGGGCAGAACAGGCACTACTAGAATGGATCCCCGTTGACAGTCGCCTGTGTGCTGTCCGGCTAAATGGCTCCGTAAGAACTCGGAAGGATAGGGACACACGTCGTTGCCTTTTCGTCGTTTCTGCCTACGCTCCCACTGACTGCAGCCATGATGAAGTGAAAGATGACTTTTACAGAAAACTCTCTGAGCTTCTTCAGAAAGCTAAGCGCTCAGACATAGTAGTCGTAGCGGGTGACTTTAATGCCCAGGTAGGCAGCTTAAATCAAACAGAAAGACATCTAGGTGGGTGTTTTAGTATTCCGGCTCAACGAACCGATAATGGTGATCGTCTGTTGCAACTATGCTCAGACAATCGTTTATTTTTGGCAAGCACTAATTTTAAACATAAGGAGAGACATCGTCTAACATGGCGACCACCTGCACCAAACCAACGATGGACTCAAATAGACCATATTGTCATCAGTCATCGTTGGAGAGGCTCAATAGAAGATTGTCGCTCGTATTGGAATACTTGTTTAGACTCTGATCACGCTTTAGTACGAGCACGCATTTGTCTGCGCCTCAATGGACGCAGGAAAAGTAAACTAAGAAGACCCGTTAGGATTGAACTGGAGGACGAGAAAGCCAAATGTGAATTCCAGAGACAACTGAGTTCACATCTAGGCAGTTCTGTAAACGAGACTGACCCAGATGCTGCTTGGAAAGGCATACGAACAGCTGTGGAGACAGCAGTAACATCTATTAGTCATTTAAACCATAGGGCTCCAAAAAACCAATGGATTTCTTCTAGGTCTATTTCACTGATGGATTCGCGTAAACTCATACCATCAGGCTCTGAACATGACGAAGAGCGTAAAGAAATTAGATCTAGGTTAACTAAAAGTCTAAGGAACGATCGTGAGCAGTGGTGGGCAACGAAAGCAAAAGAGATGGAAAAGGCAGCGGCTGTAGGCAACACCAGGCAACTATTCAGACTAATAAAAGAAACTGGAATTAAGAAGTCAAGTGTAAGTGAGACGATCTCGGAAAAAGATGGAACCCTTATCTGCTCTCTACCCAAACGTTTAGAACGATGGGCGGAACACTTTAAGGAGCAGTTTAGCTGGCCTTCAGCTACTGCACAACTACCCACTATTCCTAGAAAACCTGAATGGAACATTGAAGTAGGCCCCCCGACCCTACTTGAAGTTCAAAAGGCTATAGGTAATCTGAAACGAGGAAGAGCAGCTGGTCCTGATGGATTGGCTCCAGAGGTCTTTAAATATGGTGGTCCAATTTTAGCGATTAGGTTGACTAATATTCTGGCTAAAATCTGGGAGACGGATGTAATCCCATCCGACTGGTCACAATCACTGATTGTCCCAATATATAAAAAGGGGTCAAAATCATCCTGCGATAACCATAGAGGGATTAGTCTGACTAACATAGTATCTAAAATACTAGCCTCAATAATTATCAGGCGCCTAACTAAAACTCGTGAACTGCAAACACGAGAAAATCAGGCTGGCTTCAGACCTGGTCGTGGCTGTATCGACCACATATTCACCATTCGTCAAGTTTTAGAGCACAGACATGCTTATCGGCGTCCGACAATGATAGTTTTTCTTGACTTGAAAGCAGCATTTGACTCTGTAGACCGAGAGGTTCTGTGGCAGTGTCTGTCATTGAAAGGTGTACCTGAGAAGTACATAAACCTTGTGAAGGCTCTTTACTCGAACACTATCAGTCGAGTGAGAGCTTATGGTGAACTGTCATATGATTTTACAACCTCAAGTGGTGTCCGTCAAGGCTGTCCACTATCCCCATTTTTGTTTAACTTCATTATAGACCTGTTGCTGCAAATGACACTCTCGTCGACTGAGTTTACAGGAATTGATCTCCTACCAGGGGGACCACTAAGCGACTTAGAATACGCAGATGACATAGTCCTGTTTGGTGAAGACGCTGACAAAATGCAGAGTCTTCTGTTGGAACTGAGTAATAATGCCAGGATGTTTAGGATGCGTTTCTCCCCATCCAAATGTAAATTGTTACTCCAGGACTGGCCTGCGTCAACACTCGAACTAAGGATAGGGAGTGAAGTAGTCGAACGCGTTGACAACTTCACTTATCTTGGAAGTCTGATCAGCCCTAATGGGTTGGTGTCTGACGAAATCTCAGCACGGATTCAAAAAGCTCGTTTGGCTTTTGCCAACTTACGTCACCTATGGCGAAGACGAGATATCCGTCTATCAATTAAGGGACGAGTATACTGCGCAGCAGTTCACTCTGTTCTACTTTACGGCTGCGAAACATGGCCATTAAGAGTAGAAGATACTCGTAGGTTACTAGTATTTGACCACAGATGCCTTAGAAATATTGCTCGCATCTGCTGGGATCACCGAGTAAGTAATAGTGATATTAGACGCAGGGTATTAGGGAACGATGGTAAATCAGTTGATGAGGTGATAAATCTTCATCGACTGAGATGGTTGGGCCATGTGTTACGTATGCCTGAACACCGATTACCACGACGCGCTATGATGACTAGTATTGGGGACGGTTGGAAGAGAGTTAGGGGCGGCCAAACCAAAACATGGCATCAGTGTTTGAAGTCACTAACTTCTAGCCTGAGCCATGTTGGCAGATGCAGACTACCTGGTTGGGGTCCGCGTGACTATCGTAATAAATGGTTGGAGACTCTAGGTGACATGGCTCAAAATCGATCACAATGGCGTAGGTGTATACACTCTTTATCTTCCCTTAAACCTTGAGATTAAAATTGCTTCATATCTCTCTTCCTTCCTGTACTATATCTTTCTATACAATCTTTCTTTATATACTACCATCACTAAATTAATTGCTTCTATGAATCCGGTGTTCATCTTGTTGTGCTAAAGAGGTATGGCAACTTGGACCGATGCATATATGTGCCTGGTCCTACGTTGTAGCTGACTGACTGACTGACGAGGACTTCTAAAATACTATAAAAACCCTTTATTTTCTGTACATAAATGAGCGTCTGGAGTAAAGTTCTCGCATGTTCAAGTCGCTGTATAGATTTAGGTTAGGGGTTACGTGACTAGCTTAGGATCTGAGTATAGCGTTCAATTAGCAAGACTTATCAATATAGTGTGGGTAATGGGTATATTTTAACAGTAAGCAACTAAACTCTTAGAATATATGTGGACACACCATACTAGAGAACTTTAGTTGCTCAGTATGGCTTTTTCACTGTTTTAATAGGACTGTGCACTAATGACTGATATCATCTAGGAATCTATATTTAGAAGAAATGTAGTAACAAATAATGGATTTCTCGATGGTTAGTCAATATTATGAGGCTACTAGTTGCTACTGTGTTTTAACAATAAGTCCTAATGTGATGGAACTGGGGGAATAGTTGTATCTGCTTACAGATTTTTTTAATGATGGAAATTTCATAGACGCTATTGGGAATGCATAAACAGTTGAATGGAGAATCGTAGGACAGTGAGCTTTTATATATACATATATATATATATATATATATATATATATATATATATATATATATATATATATTTCAAGCTACGTTTTAAAGATAAGGTAAGTTGAAGGTGGTAAATTTACTGTTTCAAAAAACTGGCATTGTTTTCACCAATTTACCGTAAATCAGTACCGGTTACAGATGAGCATATGATAATTTGATGGAAAGACGAAGTCAGTCAGCGACAACGTAGAACCAGGCACATATATGCATCGGTCCAAGTTGCCATACCTCGTTAGCACAACAAGATGAACACCGGATTCATAGAAGTAATTAATTTAGTGGTGGTAGTATATGAAGAAAGGTTGTATATAAGGATATAGTATAGGAAGGAAGACGAAGTAATAAAAAATTACCTTTATATTTGCTGGTGGATCGTCTACCACTTTATTTTGTCCTACAGAAACGCGTAATTCATCGATTTCCATGGGATCAGTCATATCACTGGCTTTAGAAGCATCATCTGCTATGCAGGATTCTTCGCCGTTTACGTTTGCTTTACTGCTTACTGTTTTTTCTTTGGTAAAAGTAGCAACATCGTTGATTATAGGCTGTTTGTTATCTGTTTCCTGGAATCCAGAACGATCGGCTGAATCTCCGCCACTCTTTGAACACCCTTCTTCAGGATCTTCAGCTTTTGACAACTGGCCATCTACCATTTCAGGTTTTGGTTCTAAGTTTGGCATACTCCAGTGACCGTTAATTTTTTCAAATTCTTGAACCTTTAATAAGATAAATGAAGAAAACCTACGTAAATCCGAAGGCTGGAAAGACAGGAACACCTAGACTCCACAAACATAGACACCTACTACAATCGGACGTCAAATTTCTATAAACAGATCACTATTGTAATCTGTGGTAGTATTAATTGGAGCCCCTATAACCGATAGGATCATAAGACGTATACATCCAGAAGTTTCAAGTTTTTCACCACAAATGTTTTTGAAACATTGCTCACATGGTGCACAAAAGCGGTAAAGAACAGTAAGATTGGGGTAGGACACTAAGCAAATATGCCAAATCGATTGAGGTAGCCAGGTGGTGTGAAGAGAGAAGTATAGGAGCAATGACGAACAAAATAAGCTACTTTTCGGAATAACATTTAATTTTGTCCGTCCCCTTTCATGAATAATAGGTTTTTTGTTTAATGTATAAACCAGTCACATTCTCTTCTATTTCGAAATTACTGTAATTCAAACTTTTTTTTTACCCGAATGCCCTAGTTTGGAAATTATTGTGCGCTGTCACCTTGCATGTCATATATTTATTCATATGACTTTACAAGTTAATCTGAATCAGTAACATTCTAACCAACTCATCTCTCTTTCACCGTTTCCTGACCTATCAGTTCATAGGTTGATGATAGAATAATTCTCTTCTTTATAACTTCAATGACATCTACAAACAAACAAACTCGTGCACTCTTAAGCCTCAATGTTGGGATAAGTAGCTTATGGCGTCGAAGCTTTACACTAGATTTAGACAAATCCCTGTGTATTAGTGAGCAGATGGATCGAGTAAGTAACATCGCGGACATATATAGCTGATGCCGAATTACCATCTACCTCAAAGTACAATGCTGGCTGGAGTAGAAATAAGTTGATAAGGAGCTAGAGAAGCCTAAACCAAAACACAACACGTCTATAAAATTCTTTATTGTTGGAATAAACTGGTAGCTACAGTCCATTCAGTTCAGATGGGTACGATTATCATGTTCAGCGGTTGAAGACTTCAAGCGACACGCCTCAGAATCGGTAGCAGCGTCTCACATTCATTCAATTTATCTTCCTCTAAGCTTTAAGAGATTCAAAATTCTCTCATATTTTCTATACATCGAACTTATTCCTTCTATCTGGACTGTATTCCTCAGTGTTTGATCTTTCTCACTATCATTGATATTACATTGTTTCCACTATTTCGCTATTCACCTAGTTAATTCCATCTCGTGATGTTGATGTATGGTAAAACTAGACTGACTCAAATTTGTGGCAGGCCATATGATAATTACGATTGAATGAATGATAAAGAGTTACACAGTATCACATCCAGGAAAACCAGACGATACAAGGTATGTGTAGATTAGTAACAATTTCAGTACTGGTTTTACGAAAGTTAAAGAATAATTATGTGGAATGGAATGACATACTTACAGTAAAAACGCATTCGAAAGGTCATCAAACTGTCAATATGACAATCAGATGAGTTCAAGATAAAACTACACTAAGCAGGCGAAGTGATGGCTCGTTAAGTAGAAGCGTGTATAGAAAAAGACTCTCTGCCTGCCAATACACCCACTTCTATAGCTTTACACCTATCCATTATAAGAGAAACTTGGTTAAATGCCTCACTAGTAGAGCAAATAAGATCTGTTCTGTTGATACTTTAAGTCAGGAACTGCAATTTATCTATAACTCACTGACTGAGATCGGCTACCCTGCTGCGTTCATCAAAAAGTACATGTATGATACAAGGAAGAAATCGGAGATTTTAACTGTTCGTAAGAAGCCTCTATACATAAAATTACCATTCAACGGGGATGTAGCTAGTGAAACTTTGAAAGATAGGTTGACAAAAGTAATTAGTAGAACTTTCTACGCAGCCTATCTTGCATTGACTTTCTCGAGTCGACCAGTGATGTCTAATAAACGTCACCACCTGAGCCACTGTAGCTCACTTTCATACAAATTCCCTAAGCTCATACTTAATACTTTTAAATATTTAATTTGACAATGTATATAAACTCAAGTGTTTACTATACTAAGACGACAGCATGTCAACACGTCTCAAACGTGTTAAAAGTCTACACCACCACTATAGAAAGTGACCTAAAATTTACTGAATAAACTTAGTAGGATTAACTAGGAAATGGAAAGCTGACAACGAAACTACACCAAGTTAAAAACTCGAACTGTCAACACAACCATTTCCCAAATTCACAACACTATTTTTAAGCACACAAGTTGATAAGCTTACCTTTTTTCGAACAAGAACCATAATTCCGATACGACTAAGAACATGTTGAGTAGATAAGCCCTCTCGGGGAACTCCATCACTGAAACTATCAGAATTCTCTGTTTCAGGTTCACAAAGGTGACGCATAAATAAACAAACATAAGCTCGAAACACTCGATCAGGCTTACATCTTAAATCCCTGACCATCCAAGGTTGATCACGTGGAGGTAGTCCATACCTATATAGTTTTGTTAGGAAATACGCAAAGGAAGGTTGAAAGTAGGATATATATAATTAATGAAAAATTAGACTCAGTGTTTATGCGGGTGAAAATCACTGACAACTACAATTTGAAGGGAACAACAAACAAGTTAGTCGACATTTAAAGAACGCACAGAATCTATTGCGACTTCAGTCAGTCAATCAGCTACAAAGTTGAACCAGGCACAAATGCATCGGTTCAAGTTGCCATACCTCAGTAGCACAACAAGAGGAACACCAAATTCATAGAAGTAGTTAATTTAATGGTGGTAATATATAAAAGATTGTATAAGGATATAGGGATATAGTACAGGAAGAAAAAGTATGAAGCAATTTTAATCTCACAGTTTAAGGGAAGATGAAAAGTGTATACACCTATGCCATTGTGATCGATTCTGAGCCATCTCACACAGAGTCTCCAAACATTGGTTACAATAGTCAGGCGGACACTAACCACGTTGTCTGCATCTGCCAACAGGGCTCAGACGAGAAGTTATTTATTTATTTATTTAAACACATAAATATTGGTACAAGGAAGCACCAGATAAATATGCGCCACACAAATCTCATTTGATTTGTGTGAGGGCTGTGATACTGCTCAGGTGCCCAAACTGAAGCAGGTTAGGGACTTCAAGCACTGAGGCCACGTTTTGTTTTGGCCGCCCCTAACTCTTTTCCAACCATCATTCCCTAATACCCTGTGTCTAACCTCACTATTACTTACCCGGTGATCCCAGCAGATACGAGCAATATTTCTAAGACAGCTTAGGTGTATCTTTTACTCTTAATGGCCGTAAATTAGAACAGAAAGAACTGCTGCGCAGTATACTCGTACCTTATTTGATAGACGGATATTTTGTCTTCGACAAAAGTTGATGTGAGTTGGCCAAAAGCCAAACGAGATTTTCGGATCCGTGCTGAGATTTCGTCAGACACCAACCCATTAGGGCTGATCAGACTTCCAAGATAAGTGAAGTTGTCCACGCGTTCGCTCCCTATCCTTAGTTCAGGTGTTGACGCAGGCCGGTCCTGGAGCGACAATTTACATTCAGAGGGGGAGGAACTCATCCCAAACCTCCTTGCATTGTTAGTAGTGCTGTCAAAAGACTCTGCATTTTATCAGCGTCTTCACCAAACAGGACTATGTCATCTGCGTATTCTAAGTCGATAAGTGGACCTCCTGGTAGAAGATCAATGCCCGAAAATTCAGTCGACAAGAGTGTTATTTTCAGCAACAGGTCTATAATGAAGTTAAACAAAAATGGGGATAGTGGACAACCTTGTCGGACACCACTTGAGGTTGTAAAATCAGATGACAGTTCGCCATAAGCTCCTACTCGACTAGTAGTGTTCGAGTAAAGAGCCTTCACAAGGTTTATGTATTTCTGAGGTACACTTTTCAATGACAAACACTGCCACAGAATCTATTGGTCTACAGAGTCGAATGCTGCTTTTAAGTCAAGAAAAACTATTATTGTCGGACGCCGATAAACATGTCTGTGCAGATCTGATTGGTCATCTGCAGATTTTAGCTAAAACATTAGTCAACTTAATCGCTAAAACTGGACCACCATCTTTAAAGACCTCTGGAGCCCATTCATCTGGACCAGCTGCTACATCGATGTTCCATTCGGACTGTCCGGGAATAGTGGGCAACTGTAGAGTAGTAGCAACCTAAATACCTATTAAGCTCTGTAACTAAAAAAAAATAGTAAAACAAAAATTCCTTACTAGGCCTTAAGTTAAGATCACAGCTCCACATAAAGCTAAGGACCTTCGTAAACACATAAAAGTAGGATGGTATGTGCACCTGATTAACTAAACTAAAAACTTATAACATGAACGTAGGGTTTATTCTGTACTTAGAAAGTACGAAACATATTTGCAGGAATTTACACTCACCGCATAACTGCATTGAGAAATGAGCGACGCTGACGAGCATTAAAGCCTAGTACTTCAATCTGTCCATTAACGCGAGACAAAAGTGGAGGCATTTTACCTTCACGTTCACGCCGAGTGCGACGACTCATAACGGGAACATCGCCACCGGCTGCACCCGTACGCTCATCATATTCATCGTCATCTTCATCCTGAATTTCACAGCAAACAGTTAATAAGGAAAATATGAAATAAATTTTACATCGAAAACACTGAAGGATGTACTTAAAAACATATATGGGCCTTTACTAGTATCCATTATCATCGAACAGTATGTCACACTCGCCAACTGGTTAAAACGAGGTACGCGTACGCGAATATTTACAGAGATGACAGTGTTTTCACCACAGCATTTTCTTTTGTGGTTAAAATCCTATTTAATCGAAAACTAGACATTAAGCTAATGTCTATCTGAGGATGTATTAGTTAGGTATTATACTACCATATAAAACTGTATCCATCTACTATGACAGCTTATTATTATGAAAATACAGTTTAAGAAGGTGATTTGAGTTAACTGATACTTTGCCTTTCCCAAAATTACTCCACGTTTGAGACATGCAGGATATTTGGTTGTCTATTAAAAGGAGATTCATGGAGCGTTTGATCGTGCTGGTTGACGATATTTTAACAAGGTCGATGACAGTGAAGAAAAATCGTAGGTTGCTAGTATCTGGTCATACATTTTAGGTAAAGGTTGCGTTTTGAGTTTTGGGTTGGATGTTCGCTCAACTAATTAAAAGATAATTGAGACTAGCAAATACTTCATAACGAAGAGACAAAAAAACTAACTTTGTTAGAAAAGTCACTATCATGGTCAGTCATAGCCTGATTCCACTCTTCTTCTTCTTCTTGATTTGTTGAGTAGTTAACTTGTTTTCGAACTCTTTTACCTTTCCCAAGAGCTCGAGCTTGATCTTCTTGAGCTTGTTCGAAGTGATGGCGCAATAACTTTTCCCAATACGTTGGATCTGCTGGATCAAGTTCCTGTTTGATAACCTGACAGAAACGTTAGAAAGCAACAGTATTGAAATCGAAAAGCAAATAACCAATACAAAGAAGTAGTATTAAATTATACCCATTAAGCTGATAGACGTCTACCCAGGTAGATATAAATAGGCACCAAGAACATGTTTTGGATACAAACGAAGCTAGAATAAAGACGACTAAGTAGTGCGTACTCTTCCATATGTAAACCAGTGACGAAATAGTTCCATTAGTGATAAATTCAGTGATTTAACCACTTTCTAAAATCCCGAAATACATTATACGAATGAAATAATTTTTTTCCTGTGAACACACCAGTGAGATATTTAAAATCACAAAAAGGATTAATATAGACGTTGAAAGCTAAAAGATAGAATTCGATTTTTTGTTTCATACGATTAGTAAGCTAACATTTGTTAAAAGTTCTATTCTGTTGTAATTTTAAAAAGTGAACAGTCAGACAATATCCAGAGCAAGCAAGACTCGCAGAAAGGTAAAACCCCTTAATGCAGTAATTATGTTTTTTGGCCTGTCGATTCGTACGTGATAACATCGCCAATCAGAACACGACCTATACAATCTTAGCACCGTACCAACCCAATGACGTGTTAACCGGTAAGAGCAGCTTACAGTCCTTATCGGTCCTCCTCGTCTAATCCTGCTTGTTGAGTTCAGAACACAGCTTCTAGTGTATGAGTCATTTATTCCAGGCATACTTGGTTTACATACAAACAAGCCAGGCCCGATCATACCATAAAATAGAAAGTAATAATTACACAAGAACAAGCCAAAGGTGGCAATGAATGTGAGATACAGCAACTAATAAACTTAAAATAACTTAAGGATAGTAAATCGTATAACAGTCAATAGGTCAAATGGAAGCTCATAACAAAAGGAATGAATATACATATAATGTAGTTACCTAACTGTTTTCCAATAAGAATATGTCATAGTAAGCCATAAATAAATCCTAACAGTTACTATTCTCATGTTCTTCCTTAGGATAAAATAGTTAGGATGACATCAACTCCAAGTTAATGGTAAAAATGAACGCTACAATTGTGAAAAACTGGGTGTATGAACATTTTAGTGAATACGATAACTAAACTTTCAATTATCTTTTGATGTATCTTTTGCTGAGACTGATATATCGATAGATTAGAAGTGTGGGAGTTATCTTTAATAATGAAATCATTAAGAATTTAAGGCCTTTACAAAATCTATGAAAGATAAGAAATCATAAGAAATTCACCGTATTTCTGCATGTATATTCATGGAAACCTACTACCTAAATATCGATTTTGCTATATTTCCGTTAAAATGATATTAAAACTATATTTCAGTTTGAACTTGTAGTTCAACAACGTCAGATTTTCTCTTCGAAATAGAGAGCATCTACTCAATAAACACTTTTCAGTTTGGAAGTTGAATCATCTGTTTGTGATATTTACACCTCCCACATTCAACATTTGAAGACTGATGGGTAATGGAGAAAGATTGATTTAACCATGATATATAAACGCTTTGCCAATAATTTGATGTACTTCAAACGTGGCGGCCTGCTTGAATACCTGGGCTACCTGTTTCTGCAATCTAAATATTTCAACAAGTTATCTGGGTTTTTTTTAATTTGTTTTAACCTATCATTATATCTATTAATCGCATAACCTACACAGGCGCGTTTATAAAAAGCTTACGCCCTTTCGCTGCAAAAATTACAAACAAGCACAATAAGAGACATCGTGGTGGTTGGCAATATGCATTAAAGAGAATGAACATCAATCAAATGTCGATTCCAGAGCTGCTTAACTCTAACTGTCAATCACTAATTAACAAGGTGGACTATCTCCAATTTCTGCTAAGTCAAAACATGTATCGTAATTGTGGTGTCATCACAATTCAAGAATCTTGGTTAACTGACTTACAGGATGATTGCTTAGTGTCATTACGTGATTTTAATATCTATCGTCAGGATCGATCAAACAATAAAAAGACTTGTGGTGGCGGAGTAGCTACTTTTGTAAACGTGAACTGGTGTCGATCTACTTTTGCCTGTTTCAAGTTTTCAAACGACTTTATTGACTGTCTAACTTTAAGGTGCCGTCCAAAACACCTGAATAAATACAAATATATTTATGTTACTAATATCATATACTAAGCTGTTAACTTTAGCTTGAGACATGGACAGAACCTATACTCTATGTTGGGATCCCATAATGCTTGTGCCATTGGAGACTCCTTAATAAACACAGTGTCGAAGGTCAAATATCTTGCTGTTACTTTTTCCTCTGATCTTTCTTGGTCTTCTCATGTTTTACTGTTATCGAAAAAAGTTTACCGTTTGACATACTACATAAAGAGGCTGCATGCTTTTGGGATTACTCGCCATTTACTCTTACAATTTGTAAATTCCTGCATATTACCTATTATTTTATATTGTTCTCCATTATTCTTTCCTGGGCTTTTGAGAAAAGACTTTGCTATTTTGCGTAGAGTGCTGAAGGCAGTTTGCAAGGTATGTGGTGAATCTTTTGAAGTCATTGTTAATATGCTTGTGGATAGACATCTTAAATCTTGCAAACTCTTGGCAGGTGTTATCTTATCAGATACTAACCATCCGCTTCATTCATATCTTTCTCCTTGTATATCTTCTGGTAGAACGAGACGCAAATACATTAAAATCTATGCACGCAAGCAAATCTATAAAAGTTCTATAATACCTTACTTAGCAAATTTACTTTGTGACGAACAGGCTGTTAGAGTTGACCTGGTAAATAACCTGTATTCTTAAGCATGTCTCATATTCGATAATTTGTATAAACTCAGATTTTCCTAAACCTTATTTTTTAAATTTAATTTCTGTTTTTTTGTTTGTTTGTTTGTTTTTTTTGGTAAAAAAAACTTGTTGAAATAACTCGTGCTGAGAATTCTATATTGTACCAGACTATAATATTGAATAAAGTCATTAATAATAATAATAATAATAATAATAATAATAATAATAATAAATGTAATGTCACAGCGTAGTGATGTAAGTACATTTATAATATGTTTAATGTATCCAGATATTGTAACTTCAGTGTATCACGAAACACTAAAAGCCCAGAATGCGGCACTAGTTGGGATCTTTATTACTTTACTTACTTACTTACGCCTGTTATCCCTCGTCGAGGAGCATAGGCCACTCACCAGCATTCTCTATCCAACTCTGCCCTGAGCCTTCCTTTCCAGTTCTTTCCAGTTACTATTCAGCCTTTTCATATCGGCTTCTATTTCCCGGCGTAGTGTGTTCTTTGGCCTTCCTCTTTTCCGCTTCCCTTCCGGATTCCAAGTTAAGGATTGAGTCGTGATGCACATTGGTGATTTCCTTAATGTATGTCCGATCCACTTCCAACGTCTTCTCCTTATTTCCTCTTCAGCTGGAAGCTGGTTTGTCCTCTACCATAAAACGCTGTTGCCGATAGTATCCGGCCAGTGGATGTTGAGTATTTTGCGTAGACAACTGTTTATAAATACTTGTACCTTCCTGATGATGGCCGTAGTAGTTCTCCACGTTTCAGCTCCATACAGTAGGACTGTCTTGACGTTCGTATTAAAGATTCTGACCTTGAAATTGGTTGAAAGTTGTTTTGAGTTCCATATGTTCTTCAATTGTAAAAATGCTGCCCTTGCTTTGCCAATCCTCACCTTCACATCTGCATCCGATCCTCCTTGTTTATCAACGATGCTCCCCAGGTACTTGAATGTTTCCACCTCTTCCAGAGTTTCGCCGTCAAGTGTGATTGGGTTGGTGTTCTCCGTGTTGCATTTGAGAATCTTGCTTTTTCCTTTGTGAATGTGGAGACCTATCGATGCGGAGGCTGCTGCTACATTTGCGGTCTTCATCTGCATTTGTTCGTGTGTATGAGAGAGGAGGGCTAGGTCATCTGCGAAGTACAAATCATCTAATTGATTCTGAGAAGCCTATTGTATTCCGTATTTCCCCTCAGATGTCGAATTCTTCATAATCCAGTCAATCACTAGAAGGAATAGGAATGGGGAGAGTAGACAGCCTTGTCTGACTCCGGTCCTTACTGGAAATGCATCTGTCAGCTGTCCTCCATGCACCACTTTGCACTGTAGTCCATCGTATGAGTTTTTGATAATGTTGACAATCTTTTCAGGAACTCCATAGTGTCGAAGAAGTTTCCATAATGTTCTCCTGTCCACGCTGTCAAACGCCTTCTCATAGTCAATAAAGTTGACTTATAGTGATGAGTTCCACTGGACTGATTGTTCAACGATGATCCGTAGTGTCGCAATCTTGTCTGTGCACGACCAATCCTTACGGAATCCAGCCTGATGATCCCTTAGTTCGGCGTCTACTGCGTCTTTCATCCGATTCAGCAGCATTCTGTTGAAAAATTTCCTGGTACTGATAACAAACTAATGCCTCTGTAGTTCTCGCATTTGCTCAGATCTCCTTTCTTTGGTATCTTGATGAGATATCCTTCTTTCTAGTCCGTTGGCACTTGTTCCTCTTCCCAAATCTTCTTGAATAGAAGGTGAAGCATGTTTGCAGTTATTTCAATGTCTGACTTCAGTGCTTCAGCTGGTATATTGTCACGTCCTGCCGCCTTCCCACTTTTGATTTGTCTGATGGCCATCTTGACTTCTTTGACCGTTAGTGGAGTGACATCTATAGGAAGGTCTGTGTGGGCTGCTTCGATGTTCGGTGGATTCAATGGGGCTGGTCTATTCAGCAGTTCCTCGAAGTATTCTGCCCATCTTTTCCTCTGTTCTTCAATCTCAGTGATTGTCTTTCCTTCTTTGTCCTTGACTGGTCTCTCTGGTTTGCTATATCTCCCTGCCAACTTCAACGTTGTATCATATAGTTGTTTCATATTCCCTTCTCTTGCAGCTTTTTCCGCCGTCGTTGCTAGTTCTCCCATGTATTTCTGCTTGTCGGCTTTAATACTTTTCTTCACTTTCCTGTTTGCTTCTGCGTAGTCTGCTTGTGCTTTGACTTTATCTGCTCTTGTTCGGCTGTTGTTAATTGCTAGTTTCTTGTTCTTCCTTTCTTGAATTTTGTCTAGGGTTCCCATAGAGATCCATTCCTTGTGATGATGCTTCTTAGGACCAAGAACCTCCTGACACGTTGAAGTTAGTGCTTCTTTTATCCCTTTCCAGTTGTCCTCCAAAGTAGTTTCTTGTTCTTTCAGTAGATCCTGTAGAGCCTGGAACCTGTTGTTGAAAGTTATCTTGAATTCATGGAGCTTGTCAGTATCTCGAAGGAAGGCTGTATTGAACCTTTGTAGTGCTGTTTGTCCAGTTGTCCAGTCTTTCTTTAGCTTCAGTCTCATCTTGGCCACAACCAGGTGGTGATCTGAAGCTATGTCAGCTCCTCTCCGGGCTCTCACATCTTCCATTGATCTTCGGAATTTTTTGTTGATACAGATGTGATCTATCTGGTTCTCTGTGGTGTGGTCCGGTGAGATCCATGTAGCTTTGTGTATGCGTTTGTGTGGGAATATTGTGCCGCCTATAACCAATTTGTTGAATGCACATAGGTTTGCAAGTCTCTCCCCATTTTCATTTCTCTCCCCTAATCCATGTCGTCCAATTATATCTTCATATCCTGTGTTGTCCACTCCAACTTTAGCATTTAGATCTCCCATCAGGATGGTGAGGTCCTTCCGTGAGCACTTCTCTATAATTGATTGCAGCCTTTCATAGAAGTGATCTTTATCATTGTCGTTGCTATCATTGGTGGGTGCATAACATTGGATAACGTTCATTGTGATCCCTTGCTTCTTTGTTCTGAATGATGCTTTGATTATCCTGGGTCCATGAGATTCTCATCCCACAATGGCATTTCGTGCTTCTTTGGACAGCATTAGAGCAACTCCCTGAGTGTGTGGAGCATTTTCCCCTTCGTGACCGGAGTACAGCAGCATCTCTCCTGTACCTAGCCTTTGTTGTCCAGTTTGTGTCCAATGGGTTTCGCTGATTCCGAGTACTGCCAAGTTGTATCTTCTCATTTCCATTGCTATTTGGCTGGTTTTTCCTGTCTCCCACATTGTCCGGACGTTCCATGTACCTATAAAGAGTGTTGCTCTGGTTGTTAGAAGGTGCATCGGTCTCGTGACTTCCGAAAAATTTCGGCTTTCATCATGAGACGTCATAATTATTCCTTCAACTCCCAAGGCAGAGTTTAAATGGTTTGAATTATTTTTTCTGGTTAGCGTTTTTTAGCGAGTTAGCTTTTCTACGGGATGGGGTCGCTAACCCCATACCCAACCCTCCTCCTTTACCCGGGCTTGGGACCGGCTGTAACTTTAGAAGAGCTACAGGCGGAGTTGGGATCTTTATTAACAGTTGTATAAATAATATTACATCAGTAGATTCTGACAAACGAAACAACCTACAGTTATTTTTGCCTACGTTTACATGGACAACTAGGTAATTGCTTTTAGCAAGACAAAATGAAGCTGGATGAGAAGAATAGATTAGGTTAAGGCTACGCGAAAAGGATTGATAATCTGATGATCGCAGTGTACATAATGCAAGGTTTGCTGCACCTTTTTACAGTCAGCAACCTACTTTATTTCGTGCTATATTTCGACATAGTAATTGATGTGACCTAATATCCTCCCACTGAAATCCAAACATGAACCCACATATAAATTACATCGACTGCAGTAGTTAATAGAAGATAAGGATCAACAAGGACTCTATACTGCTCGTACCGGCCAACGCATCATTAGTTTGTCGCAGTGCTAAATCGTATAAGTCGTGTTCTGATTAGCAATTTAGTCATGTGATAGTTAACAGGTCACAAGTTACAAGTTTACACTGTACTAACGACATAGTTAAGAATAATAAATAGTGACAGTAGTATGAGCTGGGAGGCGAAATCCAACGGCTGCAGTTTAGGCTATACTAAATTGTACTGACTCAAAATAATAAAAATGTAACCAAATGCTTGTCGAGGTTATAAAAGTCTTTTTGCGCGCGTAATACGTAGGATTATTTGGACATGATTATCGGTACATATGCATCATATCCGTTCCACTGAAGGTGGGAAATAAAAACAGTGGTCATCCGATAATACACATTTACATCTGATACATGAACATGTGTAACATGTACTAAGTCATATGTTCTTCACACATGAAAACATAAGAATAGGTTCAGTCGCATAATTACAAAACCTTTATTATCTGCTCTAAGGCTAATTCTCATTAGTATTCATCGATAAGCAATATCTATTATCATTATATATGCCATGGACTGCAGTATTTAATAGATAAGCTTCCATACAAGTGGATGTCAGGCTGTTGATTTCGATCTATACAAATACGATTATAATATATTTTCCATATATGTGAAAATATAGCCTATTTTAAATGAAAAATATCTATGCCATCTATTAATTATCAAAATGAATAAACTAAATTACTTCACGATTTTCATCTTCATCCTCCGATTCATCATCTTCTTCTTCAATAACTCCTTTCTTTTCATAATGAGCAACTTTGAAGGAGGTTAAATAGTCGTTCATTTCTAAAGCTTTTTCTTCTAACCCTTGCTGGCTACGATCCAATAAACGCTCAATAGCAGCATCATCATAAACGATAGTGTGTTCATCTTCCACTAACGCGGATAAATAACGAAAGTATTAATGAAGTGTAACCATGTGTGAATATAGCATTACGAAAGTTGATGGTTGTTTGGTTTGAAAAGATTGTTAATTATAGTAAAATGTATGAAAAGTTGAATACAGGATAAAAATCAAGTTGGGTGGTATGACCTAGAAACATTGCCAATAGGCGGATGTACTTATTTTTTTAATCTATTAATTCCTGATTTTCAAAATTATTTTATACTTTTTAAATTTGGGAATTCGCTTTTCTACTTTGTTCATGTTCCGTGTAGGATTGTGTTGGGGCATGCTGACTGACGATTTCTTGGCCAATCATCGCTAGTGGACACTAGGAGAAGGCTACAGAATCTTCTCGTGCAAATTATAAATATACCGAAGGTTTTCCTATTGTAATTCCATTCAACTTTGTTTATTTGGAATAAAATTGAGTTCCGGTTCAGCCGTTTTCTGATTTGGGGACTTGATGAGTGAAGTAGTGTCCAAGATAACTGAGCAATAATAATAGTTGGGTAGTAATAAGAGAGATCATAACATCTTGGTAATTTCATCTCACTGTCCCAATGTGGTGTGCAACGTGGATCGATATAAATTCATACCATGTTCTACGTTGGTTATAACTGATCGATTTCAGTAGAGACCACCATCAAGTTGGAAGTGTCATTTTGATTTATTGGCCCCTAACAGCTGTTATATCGAGCGTTACTTATTGAGTCTAGGAGCGAGTGTTTGAGGATGAGAAACAACTAGTTTACTTATTCCGATTAATTACTGGTTTATTAGAATAACAGAAAACTTACTGCTCTCTTCGCCTTCCTTGAACAGATCTTCAGTTCCGAATTTAAGAATATCATCCAGTTCTTTTTTAGACATTTGACATGAACCTTTACCGCCTAAACCAGGACGAACAACTAAATGAGTCAGCATCATTTTCTTTTTAGCCACTTGTGTAACACGTTCTTCAACTGTTCCACGAGTAACAAACCGATAAATCATAACCTAGATAGACAAATAAAGTTATTTTCACGACTACTGGACTGAAAACAACAGTATACGGTGATCTGAAAAATGGTGAAATAATGTGCCCGAGTATATAAACACAGTCTACTAAAAAAGTCAACGAACATGCTTCTAATTGTTGAATGATAGCGTTGTAACTAACTAACTAACCATGAAACATTGTGCATCAGCAGTTAAAAATGAACTATCATAATACAATTTTATACACATTAAAATGAATTGGTAATTATTCAAATTTACAAAAATATAGTACAGTTGCAACCTAATAAGATATAGAGAGTTTGTAACCCTGATATGTTTTATTTCTTACTTAGTCCATCAAATACAAAACACATATTTGCAGAATTATTTTACCAGTTAGATAAAATGAAAAAAAGTACATTTAGCATACCAATTTCAGTACAAAATATACACAAACTAGACGTGAGCTGCAGGTTGCTATTAATCCGAATAATTTAACAGAACTGTAAGGAGAACAAATACGGATTACTAAATGGAATGTGAGGGGTTTTAAATAGTTTTGAAATAGTAAGCTTACTTTATTGGACTGACCGATACGATGGGCACGAGAAAATGCTTGGATGTCATTATGTGGGTTCCAATCCGAATCATATATGATGACTGTATCTGCGGAAGCTAAATTTATGCCTAGACCTCCTGCCCTGGTGGATAATAAAAACGCAAAGGAGAGAGAATCAGGGGCATTAAAACGATCTATAGCATCTTGACGAAGCTGTCCTGTAACTGCACCATCGATCCTTTCAAATTTATAACCTTCAGAATCTAAAAAGTCCTCTAACAGGTCTAACATCTTAGTCATTTGAGAGAAAATCAGCACACGATGTTTTGTTTCATACAATTTGCGCAGCATTTTGCTCATAAGTTCCAGTTTCCCAGAACCTTTCCGTAGTCCGACACCTTCATAAGCACCATTGGGCATACGCTGTGCCTCCTCAGCCGCAGATGGAAAAAGGAAAGGGTGATTGCAACACTTCTTGAGGTCCATCATAATATTGATAAGAGAAACTTGAGAACCTCCACTGCGACAACTCAGAGCCTCGAAGTTACGAGTAAGTATAAATTTATAGTAACGCCTTTTTATATAAAAAGAGAACAACAATGAGACGTAATCTATTAATTTCATATATTGTTCCATAATCATCATAAAATAGATTAAATTAACGCTTTTTTGGGCGCCTTTGTTTTAGTATTCATATCAATTGACACTGTGCAATAATAAGATAACAAAATTAGTTATTTTACCTGAAATAGTGCCGCTTTTTGTTCGGGCATGAAAATCATAATATTAGTGACTGAACTCGTCGGCTATCTAACTTCAATTACAGTGAATTTCAACTTTTCATAGACTAGGAAACATTATTAATACCTACCTAATAAAGTTAATATCGAACACTCGTCCGGTTCGGCTCTGCACACAATGGAGAGCGAAGAAAACCTGAAAGCAAACTGATAAAAATCCTACCTACAGATCGTGAGTAGTGAGCAGCTAAAGCAAAAGCAATGGAAAAGGTGGTGGAGATAGACAGCAGTAAACAATTTTTGAGACTCACAAAGAAACAGTATTGAAAAAGATGGAAAAGTGTTTCATTCTTAACCCAGGAGATGGAACGATAAGCAGAACACTTAGAGGAACAGTTTAACTGCTCTCCAGCTACTCTTCAACATAAGTCACCGAATCTTAACAAAGTAGGAGAGTCTATAACCTAAAGTGAGGGAGAGCAGTAGGCTCTGATGGAATAACCAGTGATCTTTAAAGATGCTGATCAAGTCTTAGCAGTTCCATTAATTGAGATATTGGCTGGAATCTGGGAAAGGAACGTAATCTCATGTGACTGGTCTCGATCACTTACCGTCCCAGTTAATGAGGACACAAATTCCCTTGCGACAATCACAGAGGAACCAGTTTAACTAATATAGTGATTAAAATATTAGCCTCAACAATACTCCGACGCCAAACTGGAATTCGTGAAAAGCGGACCCAAGGAAATCAGATTAGTTTTAGACCTGGACGTGAATTTACAGATAAAATATTCACCCTCCGGTAGGTTCTGAAACAGAGATATTCTGACGTCTGATTGTAGTCGTATTCCTTTACCTTGAAGTGGCGTCTGACTCCGTTCATTTTGAGGTTTTGTAACAGTATCTGTTACTGAAAGGCGTACCAAAGAAGTACATTACTATTGTGCAGGCTTTTCACGAAGACCACTGGTTGAGTTAGAGCTTATGGAGATCTGTCATCGGAATTGGTTACTTTAAGCGTTGTTCGTCAGGGCTGTCCAGTTTTCTCATTTTTATATAACTCTGTCATAGGCATTCTTTTAGAGATAACGCTCACCGTCCAACTTATAGATAGCTGATCTTCCAGGAGATGTTATTGTTTACTCATAGTACGCAGATGACATGGCTCTGTTCGGTGAAGACGCTGAGAAGATGAAGTCTTCTGACCAGACAGAGGGACAATACTAGGATGCTTGGAACGCTTTTTTATTTCTCTATATGTAAAATATTACTTTAGTATTTGTATGCCTCAAGCCCGAATTAATAATAGAGAGCGAAACAGTTGAGTACGTTGATCGCTTCACTTATCTTCACAGTCTCATCAATCCCGACGACCTGGTCTCTGACGAAGTCTCCGCATGGATCCGGAAATCCTGATTAGATTTTACCAACCTGCGTCATTTGCGGCGTAGAGATATCCGTCTACCGACCAAAGAATAATTTTATTATGCAGCAGTTCGCTTTGTTTTACTGTAGGGGTGAAAAACGGGCTTCACAAATAGAGGACACTCGTAGGTTACTAGCATTAGATCATAGGTGTCTTCGGACCATTGCTCATATATTTTAAAACCATTGATTTGGAGATTCTGAGGTTAAACCCAGAGTACTATGTAGGTATGGCAAATCGACTGATGAGGTAATGAATTTCTATTAACTGGGCTAATTAGGACATGCATCACGTAAGCCCAACCATCAACTAACTTGAGGCGTGATGACAGTTGGTGCACGAGTATGTTGAGAGAGAGTAAGAGAAGACATGCTACCAGTCCATGAAGACACTGAGCATTGAACTGAGTCATATACGTGGGTGCAGATTACCTAATCAAGGTCGGCGTGATTATTGTAACCAATGGTTAAGGACTGAATAATATGGTTCAAGATGGTCCGCAATGGTCCAAGTGCATTCAATCTGCTTTCCCATAAATTCCGCGTTTTTAAACTCTCCATGAATTTTCTTATCTCACTAATTTATATTTTTTTAGTGAATCGTATTTTCTATACATAATCTTTTCCATTGCCAATAATACTGTTACTGTCTCTAGTACTCAAGGATTTATCCTAACAACTTCCCTTCGCTGTGCTCATGAGGGACGGTAAATCGAACTGATGTACACATGTGTCAGGTTCTACGTTGCGTATGACTGACTGTGGATGCAGCATTTATTTTCAGAACACATACATGTTTCTATTATTTTATCAGTCAGCCATAACCAACATACAGACCGTCACAAATATGAGTCAGTCTAATTTACCATACATCGACACGAGATGGAATTAACAAGGTGAATAGGAAATTAGTGGAAATAATGTAACACCGTACTTTGAGGTAGGCGGTGGTTTGGAATAAGTTTTGTGTCCTGGTTACTTCAATAGATGCAGATTCACGGCCTTATTAATCGATTCGGCATACTTTCTTGGTACCCAACGCCTAACCCCACTGTTTTCTCACGATACAGGAGAAACATTCCGAAGACAACCATCATCAATGATCAGAAATTTACACCTTTTCCATTTTTATATACAAAGTTCTACAGCCATAGGACAGTTAAGAGTCGACTGTTGAACGATATACGCACATCATGATTGAGAAAACGTCTACTCTATGCAACAGGTAACTGGAGTTTGCAAAACACAATAGGTCTTCCCAGAGATTTCGCCAGACACCATGTTGGTTATGTGCATAACTAACCAATCAAGTTATTGCTTAAGCGCCTACAACGTCAATCTGGTCTGATGTGTCTGTAGAATATCCCTGTTGCATTTAACCCGCCAACTGAAGGACATTATTATCCTATTTTATTAATGTGACTCCTAATTTTTATTCATTTTGATAAGACATGCAATACTGGTCGGTATGTTCGTGCGTTCCACTTAATGACTAATTCCTTTAATTATTGTACTAATCAGATTGTTATTTTTACGTTTAGAAAAAGATAAAGTTTAAAGCCAAATCGTCCTTGTTCCGACTATAGCTTTCACATAAACTCTGGGGTCGCCAGTATCGTGTTTACAGTTCTAGTAAAATATCTGTAGGACAAATTACATCCTACACACCATTCGACTAGAAGTGATGACACTTCCAACGTAAATGGACTGACTGATCCGGACTAAACACGAAGTACTGTATTAAAGTTAAATGGAGAGTGATGTTTGAACCGTTACTCAGGTCACTTAGAAGGCATCGGATTACGTCTGAGTTTTCACTTAACAAAACTTTGTCATTTACATACTCTACGTCGAAAAGCAGATCTCTGAATAGATCAATCCATAGAAATTTGGACGAATAGCATATTATCTCCGAAACATCTAAACAAGATCTTAATTAATATAAATCATAACTAAATGTATCCCATTTACTCTGGTAGCAGCCCAACAGGTGTAATTAAACCCTAGTACAAGAACGTCCATTTGATTGTTGAGTTGTATCGCTTTAATGTGACCAAAGGACTATAAGAGAAATCCAATAGGAAATCTTCAATACACCTGTAGCTTTCGTAATGAAGTGAGGTTATTCAGGTTGATAACTACCATACTCATGATTTAAAACCCATAGATCCCAGAAGGCATAAAAAGGGAACGAAAAAAATGATGGGAATATTAAAAATAAACTAAACATACGATGTCACTCACTTTTGCATAGGACTAAGCTCTACTCTGACGATGAATTCACCTTTGGATGGCATGTCCTGTAGCACATCAGCCTTAAGACGCCTAAGTAAGTGTTGACCAAGCATATCGTGAAGTTTTTTTACTTGTTCTTCTTTTGATATATCAGCGAACTCATCTAAGAACCCTTGCATATCGTTGAACTTCTCAGGGGTCATAAAATGTAGTAGGTGGAAAAGTTCTTCTAGATTATTTTGAAGAGGAGTTCCTGTTAGCAATAACTTATATCCAATTTTATAGGTTGTTAAGATACGGAAAAACTTTGACTGATTATTTTTTAGTCGATGAGCCTCATCTACAACAAGAACTTCCCAGTCTATGGAGCCTAGTAAAGCTTGATCAATGCTAATTAACTCATAACTTGTTAAAAGTACATGAAATCTGACTGAAGTACCGGTTCTCATTTTCATAGCTTTAGCACCACCACGGACAGCACCCTCATCGAATGAGAATTCGTGCTCTCTTATAACTGTTCGTGAGTCTTTATCGCCAATGTAAGAGACCACATAAAGATCTGGAGCCCAAAACTCGAATTCACGCTCCCAGTTAATAATTGTTGAGAGTGGAGCGGCAACAAGGAAAGGACCACGACAATGACCTTCTTTGTACAGAGAATAAAGGAAAGCAATTGTTTGGATCGTTTTCCCCAAACCCATCTCATCAGCTAAGATTGTGTCGATTTTGTTACCGAAGGAAAACCTAAGCCAATTGACACCTTCCAGTTGGTATTCATGCAACTGTCCATCTGTTTCATCAAGAAAGCTTGGTTGAGAAGTGTATTGTTTCTTTAAATCTGTCAAACATTTATCTGGTGGTAGTTTACGGAGTAATTCAGGACTTAAATTTTCAGCAGCCAGCTCTTTTGAAGAACGGCGACCAGGTTTATGTCTTTTGCACAAACTGACAACCGACAATGAACCATCAGGACCCACGGTGCTACATAAATGTCCCATGAAGACCTTACGCATTGTACGATATTCTTCAATGAATTTATCCATATCAACAACTTCACCGTCTCGTGCTTCCCATGTGCATTCATCATATGGTAAATCACGCCATTTAACTAGATACCAGGTCTGACCTCCTCTACCAGTTCTATGGTCGATGATCCTTTGCGGTTGTAACCATTCCGGTCTAACACCCCATTTATAGAAGCGTTCTTCTAAATTGTGGGGATCTGCAACCTTTTCACGAGCTCGACCCCTGTAAAGAAAGAAATGAACGCTATATATATGTAGAGAAATGCTTAGATATCACAAATATAATTTGCGAACAAATATTCTACTGAGGATTTAAAAATACAAGGTTTTAACTTAAAAAGTTTCCATAGTGTGTAATTCTGACTGTTTCTTTACACAAACGAATTTATTTAAAACACCCTAAACTCAGTTTAAATTTACGCTTGACATGAATGAAAATCCCAACAAATAAATTTTACTTATTAGGATATGGACGAAAATATATTTAGTGAAATCTAATTACAATGGCATAAAAATAAGTTTCGAATTATCATAAAGAATCTCGAGTTTGGTTACACACAAAATCCCTAAAGTTCAAACAGTCTACACATTAAAAACACCATAAAAGCCAACGATTTCGGGAGAGGACTAATACATCTGGGATATTGAGACTAACTGGAAGCCATAACTTAATTCTACAGACATGGATTAAGGTTTAAGGAAGAACGTGTTTGTAAAGTCACAACTAATAAATTTGCATTAAATCCAACGTTTTGCTCGGCAATGTGGTCCAGGTTTTTTCAAGGAAATACAATCAAACATCAAAATTATCGAATATAAATAGGTACATGGTTCTTCGGCTAACTGTATACTAAAGAGGTCATTCAGTCATGTTAACAATGTTTAAAATAGGTATTTGATTTACTGTGTATGAGACATGTGGTGTGTAACGAAGTGTGTTAAAACAACATATTCGCAAGTGAATGAGGTGTGAGAAGTTTTATTCACTATTTATCGCCTCTGATCAGTGAATTTTAAGAAAATATGCAATTCTAATATATGATATTAATCAAATATGTCCCACCATGCATAAAATCAAGATAAGTAAACAAAATACGAATAAATGAAGGAATGTTTGTGTTATTTCTGCTGTTCAAGTTAATTGCTTAACATATTCAGATAAGACAACTGATTAGAACAGTTGAATGTAATTGTTTTTAGATAATGATATATTAAGTGGAATAAATAGCTCAGGTTTACTTAGTGATTACTAGTTGCCATGAGACAGCTAATTGTATTCCGTCTCTCTCGTTAATACTACTCGGATTTGCCCATATGTATGGGGCTTCGGCTGTTAGTCTTTCTTTGTAAGAAACCAATTGTATGATCCGACTCTATTGAGTGCAATGCTATCACTGATTTGTTTTATGTCACCTGAGGATTTAAGAATATGATTTAAACAAAGTTTGTGTTCCTTCACCCTCACATTTAGTTGTCGTGATGTTTCACCTACATATATAGCACTAAAATCACTATATTTTATTTCATAAACACAATTTCGTTGTTCCTCCTATTGTATTATATCTTTGATTCCTACCAGTTTTGATCCTAGAGTATTGTTTCTTCAAAAGAATGCTCATACATTTAGAAGATTTAGGATCATTCTGAAATTCCTTTGCGATATGGGGTCACCACCATGTTAACTCATTCTTTTTGTTTACCTCTTTTCTTATCTTTTTGGTCTCCTTCTTAATCATTCTTTTCATCAAATCCTTAGGATAGTTATTCATTATCAGAGTGCACATAACTAAGTTCCTTTCAGTTTCTTTGTCACTTGGTTCCGTGACGAGTTTCTGGATTCTAGTTATCAAATTCTTGGCCACTGTCACTTTGGTGGGATAGGCATATGCTGACTTGTAATATTAATATTTCCCAGAATATCTTGGCTTTCGAAATATAATTATTTTTAAACAATCATTACATTTGTTTTCAACCAAACAGTCCAGAAAAGGTCATTTGTAATCAGTGGATTCAATCTCCTTAGTGAATTTTTGTCAGACATACTGTTGACGTTTTTAAACAGTTCGTCTAATCCATCTGGTTTTGTAATGAGAAGTGTCATCTACGTATCTCATCCAGATTTTAGGTGGAAGAGGGCACTTCGGGATTACACTTGTTTCCAATGAATGCATGAACAAGTTAGCGACAATTAGAGAAACCGATGATCTCATTGTCACATCTGTTCGTCTTCACAAATCTCGAAGATTGAAAAGTGTTGAATGCAAATATAGGTCCAGAGCTCTGTAATGTGTGAGGGACCTAATAGACATCGTAGTTTTAGTGAAAGTCAAATAAATTACGGAAAAAATTTTGGTGGTTTCAAAGACATCACCACTACTATCCTCAGAGAAGATGAATTAATGGCAAATTTTGATGTTTGCTCTTTGTTCACTAATTTTTTTGTTAGGAAGGCTTTAGATATTGTGTATAATTGCTTAGATTCTGACACTGAACTAAAACAACGATGTTCATTGGGTAAGATTTTACAAATACGTCCTTCCTCCTTAATGTCTTACATCAATTTGGCGCCCAAATACTGTAAAACTATTCGTTCAAATCTAGACGAAAGTTCTTATATGGATTAAGGTTATTTCAAGGAACGTAGAATGAAGCATTATAACCTACATAATTCAACTTAACAAGAATAAATTACGTAATGGAATGTCGGTCTAACCGCTCACTTTTGTTTTACATTATTAATATACTAGGCAGCTGTGATTGGGGATGTTTTATATGAACACGGTCAAATATTTGCAGCAATACGAGTGATATGTTGACAGTTGTGATTGGGGATTCCCATATCACTGAAGATAAAAAAGAATGTCTGTTCATAAAGTAACACGATTTCTTTGGTAATTTAGGGGATTTGAAACAAGTTCAAAACATCGTTATTTCGTTCGGTTCATTGCAGACAATACTATCGAACGTCACTCCGTTGTTCGGTACTATATGTATTGTATGCGCGTGCTTTATTAGGAATAAAAATTTACATTCTTAGACTAGGAAATCAATTCCAATTTGTAGATGTACTTTCTTAAGTAAGTGATAGACGAAACAAGTGCATGATAAAGAGAAACAACCTAGAAATCTACATGGGGTTAAGACAACCTTAATCTAGTGGGTTATGAGCTTATCCGTAGACAGGTCTGATCCTTGGTTTACCAAAAGACGAAGAAAATCGAAATGAAATCGAGACAAACCCTGGGGTTACTCTTCGAATAAAGCGACTAACAATTAACATACTTGCCGTTTATCAGAAAATACAGTTACATTATCATTATTATCACCTCAACTAAAAAGATTATGGTGAGTGTTACCGAATAGACTGTATTTTAGTTATTTGGAAATATAAACCCACCTATAGGTGCTTCCATCTTCAGGAAGTGGAGGCTCTTCCATATCATTTTTCTTGAAATAATTTCGCAGCATGATTGGGTGGTGAACATCTAACTGTAGTTCAGTGAGCCATTCAGAGTGCCAGTATGACAAATCTGAGTACTTGACAAAAAATTCTCTTGTGGGACGTCTTACGTGAAGTGGTTTAATTGAAATATGCTGTGGTTTTGTATTTAAAGAGTTACTATCTTCTATAACAGGTTTTGATTCATTATCCTCTAAAAATTTAACAGCGGCTTTATCCGAGTCTATTGGTACTGAGATGACTGGAATGTTATCTGATTTAGAATCTTGATCAGGAACAGTACAAACATTCCCCGACACAATTTCGGCATTTAACGTTTCCTCACTTTTTACTTCATGGACCTGTTCTTGTGAACGCTGATGATAGTGTGTATGGACAAGTTCATCGGTAATTTTAGGAGGTTCAAACCATCTCCATGTAAGTATTCTACACACCTTGGCTTTTAGTGGCTTACAGCCACAACGTGGACACAACCAAACTCCTTCAGGAATATTAGCTAGGGGTGGAATTAAACAAGCTATGTGGTAACTAGCTGGACAGTTATCACAACAAATAAGATCACCACCATCTCTACATTCCGTACAAAATTCTTGATGTTCATCTTTTTCAGGAGAGGTTGGGTGAACAGCAGACACTATTTTTCCATCCTTGTCAGATGTTACAGCTGGTTCAGATCCACTATCTTCACACTCCTTATTTCCTTTAGAAACGGATGTGATACCTTCCTTCTCACAATGGGGACAAGACCAAGTTCCTTCTGGAGCTTCTTCTAACTCTGGATCTAAACACACCAAATGATATGCACGTGGACATGTATCACACAGCATTATTTCACCTCCCTAATAGAAAGAAAAGATATTCACTTAAAAGAGAATCTAAGAACAGACATTAGTTATGTAAATTAACTGGATTGAGAATACATAAGATGCAGTTGTATCAATCTTACTTGTTGACAAACTTCGCAATAATCCTGATGATCGGTCTCATAACCTTCTTCCTCGCCGATTTTCGTAAAAGTGCGTGCAACAACCAGGGGAAATCGAGCAGTTGTCTTCTGGTGAGTATGGTTTACTTTACTAGACAGGAAACTCGAATCGACTAATTTGGACCCAGGGCCATTCCCACCAGCAGTAGGACGCCTACCTGCCCGTTGCTTGCGACGATCACGTTCTTCATCTTGAGCTAGTTCGGCCTCTTCTAACTGTCGTTCGAATTCTTCATCACTTGTGTTATGGCCTCCAACAGACTGCTCCTGTATCGTTTTGTAAGTATAAAAACAAAAGGATAAAATATAAGTGCATGATTTCTATTGTTCATTAATAATCCCATAGAGGAAATTAATCCTGACTTAGCATTGTTAAGCTACCCAAAAGACTACGAAGGATAAATGCAAATCACAAAGGCAATGAATTAGTAAGAGAGCTGACACAACTTTTATTTTAAACCTGCCCAGAAAGAAATGTAAATTCATTTGTATTGATTGTTCGAATCTTCCCACTTACGTTTAAGAGTGAAACTGACCAGTCACTTTGGTAGATATGCGCCCTCTGAAGATCGCCTAGGTATTTCCACTAAATCACGGGTATTTTAAGCAGAAATGCTGTCACATGGCCGCGCGTATACAGCCCCTGCCAGGGAAGTCCTACTCACTGCCTTCTCGTGGCGGGGGTGTTGTTTACGAAAGTGAGAGGACTTGCAACTTCTGTTGCAAGTAAGTATCGAGCGGAGCTAGCTTCTAGGCTAGCTACCATCCCACCGAAAGTATAGATGAACATTGGTTGCATCTTCACGACGCCATGAAAATGGCGAATAAAGCCGCTTGCGGCTTCGCGAAACGTCCCGCTTACAAGCACTGGGTTTCTTCTGGCTCCTTACAACTGCTGGAAGCCCGTCGGTCTACTCCGAGTGACAGTGAGTATGACCACAAACGAAGGCTGTTACGTAATGAAATTGGGCAAAGCTTGCGTAAGGACCGAGAAGCCTGGTGGTCGGAGCGTGCTAATGAGATGGAAGCAGCAGCTGCATCTGATAACTGCCGGAAGCTCTTCCAACTCATCCGAGCCACTGGCAGCAAGAAGTCTGGTGTGAGTGAAACAATCTACGAGGATGACGGGATGCCAATCACTAACATCTCTCGACGTCTTGGACGATGGGCTGAATTTTTCGAAGGGCAGTTTAATTGGCCTGCTGCTCCGGCAACATCGACCAGTTTGTCCTGCCCCCCCCCATGGCCGGTGAAGACTGATCCACCAAACGAGGCGGAAGTCCGCAAGGAACTCCAACTCTTGAAACGTTACAAATCACCTGGCCCAGATGACTTACTTTCGGCTCTTTTTAAAGATGGTGAGGACTTTCTGGCTAAGGAATTGACGGTGTTGTTTGCAAAGGTTTGGGAGCAAGAAAGTGTTCCAACATCATGGAATGAGTCGATAGTCGTCCCTATCTTTAAAAAGGGTTCACGTTGTCCCTGTAACAACTATCGGGGGATAAGTCTACTTCCTATTGAGTCCAAACTATTGGCTTCTATCATTCTTCGTAGATTGTTTAAAACCCGAGAAAGATTGACTCGCGAGGAGCAGGCTGGTTTTCGTTCTGGTCGAGGATGCATTGATCACATCTTCACCCTCCGCCAAATGTTACAACACCGTCATACTTATCGCAGGCCAACAATCGTAGTGTTTCTTGATATGAGGCCCTGTATACGAACACCTCAGGCAGAGTGAGGGCATACAACCACCTTTCTCCCTTGTTCCATTCAAACAGTGGGATCAGGCAGGGTTGCCCGATCTCACCATTCCTCTTCAACTTTGCCATCGACGACATCCTGGAAACAGCTCTGATGGATGTAAGTAATGGTGGTGTGGATCTGCTGCCTGGAGAACGACTTCTCGACCTCGAGTATGCGGATGATATTGTCTTACTGTGCGATAATGCCCAAGGCATGCAATTCACACTTAATCAGTTGGCAATCAGTGTCCGCAGGTACGGTTTGTGCTTTGCACCCTCCAAGTGCAAGGTACTCCTACAAGACTGGCAGGATTCTCATACTGTACTCACCCTAGATTCGAGTAGTTGAAAAGTTCATGTATCTAGGTAGCTACATAAGTGCTGGTGGGGGCGTGAGTGATGAGATTGATGCACGTATAATGAAAGCCAGAGCGGCTTATGCCAATCTGGGCCATCTTTGGCGCCTTCATGATGTTAGTCTGACTGTAAAAGGTCGAATCTACAACGCGTCGGTGAGAGCAGTTTTGCTCTATGCTTGTGAAACCTGGCCTCTCCGAGTTGAGGATGTTAGACGTCTCTCTGTGTTCGATCATCGTTGTCTCCGAAGGATTGCTGACATCCAGTGGCAACACCATGTTAGTGATGCAGAGGTTCTGTACCGTGTGTTCGGGGCACAGCGACGATAATTCGATTGGTGTCACTATGATGAGACATCGACTTCGGTGAATTGGAAATGTTCTACGAATGTCGTCCCAGAGAATTCCATATCGTGCATTATTCGCCCACGCTGGGACTGTTTGGAAAAAGCGGAGAGGAGATCAGTGTATGACATGGTGTCGTGGTATGAAAGAAGGGGCTGCAAAGGGCTAGCTTCTGTTGGTCCTTCACGACTCCCTGGCTAGGGTCCGAGAGATGGTGCAACACAGTGGCTAGAGACGTTATCAGATGTGGCTCAGAATAGAAGCCAGTGGCGATCCTGCTGTAACCTTCTACTTTCTTCATAAAGAGCGGCTATAACTTTCCTGAGAGAGCTCTTCTGGTTGTACATTTCAGTTCCATCCCCATCATTACTCTTCTCCTTTTCTTTTTTCCTTTACATGTACGCATCTTCTTCCTTCTCCTCCAATTCTCATTATTTTGTGTGTATCCGGTGCCCTTTGTACCAATATATATGTGATTAAATAAATAAATAAATAATCAACCTACTCTCTACATTATATGAAAGACAAAAGAAACTGAAGCCCCAGGAGATGGTTGTTAGAAAAACACGCTTAATAAACTCTTGTGCATTGTTTGTTACTAGTTTTGGTGACACTTGTTTTAGTCACTTTAATTTTCACCTGGAAACTTTTAGAACATATTTCCTAAAGATTAACGGAAAAACTTGAAAGCTTTTTGTGACAAAATAATTAGTTAAGTTTAGTTTTTTTTAAAGATAAATAAATGAGGGACAGTTAACATGGATTTGATGATATTAAAGAAAAATAATAAATAGGTTAAATAAAAACAGATATACTCATGCTGTTATACTTTTTTTAACATCACACTATCTGATAAGCATAATAGTTAATGATAAAAACTTGATTGTACATCTTTATCCGCAAGCAAAATGAAACACTACTGAACCTGATAGTTTTTGGAATAAAACAATTTAAGATCATGATAAAATGTTCATTATGTAGTATAGAAATATTATCCAACTACATTTATAGTGATAAGCCTTATGGATAAGAATTCCGGTTATAATTTTATCGTAGGTAATTATCCATCGAAACAACATTAATATTTACAAAATATGAGGTAGAATTTGTGAGTAGTAATAATTGATTTTTTAAAACAAACAGAAAAATGGAGTGACTTGAAGAATATTAATCACAAAGAACATGATCAATGTCAACTAATAGTAGATGAATAGTGGTTTATTTCAATCAAAATGTATATGGGCAAAGAATACCTATTTAAAAATATAAAAATGTGAAATCGCAGTACGTGGGACAGTAAAAAATGTTGATTCTGACATTATATTTAACTAGTTGTTCGTCAAGTATTTCATAACTCAATCATAAAAAAACAATATCCTTAAAGTATTTAAATGGGGTATTTTTTATTACATGAAAAGCTCTCCACAACACGTAAGTTATAAAGTGATAAATAGCCAAGTAACGATAATTACTCTTTTATTGATAATGATATTTATTTATTTAGACATAAACATTGGTACGAGGATGCACCGAACATATATGCGCCACACCACTCAATTTGTGACTGGAATACTGTCCAGGTGACTAAATCGAAGCATGTGGTCCATTTCAGGGGGCCACTCCTCGAGCCTTCGACCCAAAGGTCTAATCCACAAACCCGACCGTTGCTGCTACCTTGACGTGGTGGTGGAGCTTGCCTATCATGACTAACCAATAGAGCTATACTGGTTGGAACAATCGTTCCTCAAGGTTCTACAATGCCAGCCAGGTCGGTTGAAGAGCGGTAAGACTAAAAGCAGCAAACTCAAGGCCCGAAGGCGAAGTCGTACTGCTGACTGTACAGAGGTGTGATGGCAGTAAGGTGTTTCCTTCGGACAATCAGCATAACAGCGATGCTGCCTTCCCACAAGGAGGGGAAGGGTTAAAAAGGTCGACCCTAAAAATGCACACCTCGCCTTATCTCACGGGTATCCGTCTCCGGCGGTAGGCTATCAACAAGTACGGAGCTAACACAAAAATTACCCACAAAAAGGTCGTGTGTGACCGACCTCAAGCAGTTGTCCCTTGGGTACTGCGGTCACGCTCTAGGTTACTAAGACCACTTCTAATCCAATTTCCTTTTCAGGTACCTTCAGAAAAACCCATGGTGCGGGCAACTGGGAAGTGATAACTGCTCTCATACCTCTAACAGCGCTCAAGATCACTGTATTCATAACCAATCTTCTTCAATTCCTATTACTCCTCCCACCTCGACTTACAACACTAAACTTCCTCTTCCGGTTTCCTCCTCAAGTGTCACCATGGCCACTGATTGTAGTGCGCGAAACACCTTTCCGGGTCTACTAAAACCTCGCCCCAAACTACGCATTGAAGCCCTCAACGCACGTACCCTATGTAAAATCGGGCAGCTGGCCTCCTTGGCTAAAACCATAGAATCTCGTTCCATTGATGTATGCTGTCTCCGAAACACGCATACAGGATCCTAGTGTGGTCATTCATTTGACCTCACCTCGCTAAAATGGACAGCTAACGAAATACACTCTCTGTGTATCTGGCGATCCTATGACTAGCTCTTGTGAACTTGCAGGTGTAGGCATAGCACTTAGTACAAATGCAGAACAAGCACTATTAGAATGGATCCCCGTTAACAGTATCCTGTGTGCTGTCCGGTTAAATGGCTCCTTAAGAACTCGGAAGGATAGACACACGTCGTTGCCTTCTCGCTGTTTCTGCCTACGCTCCCATTGACTGCAGCCCGGATGAAGTAAATGATGACTTTTACAGAAAGCTCTCTGGACCTCTTCAAAAAGCTAAGCGCTCAGACGTAGTACTCGTAGCGGGTGACTTTAATGCCCAAGTAGGCAGTTTAAACCAAACAGAAAGACATTTAGGTGGGTATATTAGTATTCTGGCTAAGCGAACAGATAATGGTGATCGTCTGTAGCAACTGTGCTCACACAATCGTTTATTTCAGCATAAGAAGAGATATTGTCTAACATGGCTACCCCTGCAACAAACCAAAGATTGAGTCAAATAGACAATATTGCCAAAAGTCATCGTTGGAGAGACTCTATGATAGGCTGTCGCTCGTTCTAGAATGCATGTTTAGACTCTGACCACGCTTTAATACGAGCACACATCTGTCTGCGCCTCGCTGGACGCAGGAAAACTACACTGAGAAGACCCATTAGGATTGAACTGGAGGACTAACGAGCCAAATGTAAATTCTAGGAACAACTGAGCTAATATCTAGGCAGTTCTGTAAACGAGACTGACCCAGATGCTGCTTGGAAAGACATACGAACAGCTGTGGAAACAGCAGGAACATCTATTAGTAATTTAAACCATAGGGTTATAAAAAACCAGAGGATTTCCTCTATTACACCGATGGATCCTATACTATATCCTTATATGCAACCTTTCTTTTATATATTACCACCATTTAATTAACTACTATGGATCCGGTGTTCTTCTTGTTGTGCTAATGAGTCAGGTATGGCAATTTGGACCGATGCATATATGTGCCTGGTCTTACGTTGTAGCTGACTGAATCCACAAGGCAGTGCAGTAACGTTAGGAGATACAGTCTCATAGTAGCCAATGATAAACAATGGTTTCATATGCCATTTGTTCCCTTAAGATCCTGGAGCCTATATTCACTATTGGTCCGGAATCAGGGTTTTTCAACTCCCTTGGGAGGATCCTCCGTATTCATCAACCTGGTTAAAGAGCGGGACATTCACTTATCGTCCTCTCAATTTCGTAAACAAGAACCCCGCCGCCAGGAGGCAGTGAGTAGGACATCCCTGGCAGTGGTTGTATGCATGTGGTCATGTGAGAGCACTTCGAGAGATCTGACTCTCCACACTCTCGGCCGTACCATGGCACTTTGGGGCTGATTGTTAATTTAGATTGGTTCTTACACTCAATAATAATAAGATACAATGACTTATTTAGCAGGTAATAAATTACAACAACCAATATGTGGAAAAATAATGAACAAATATTAAAATCTTATGCTACCCACCTCACTAACTATACGGGAAAAAGTAACACCGACACGATTAGTACTCCTTACAGTTCTGAGTAATATTTAGTGATGTCTCCGATCATTTGATCACAGGATCCCAACAAACATTAGACTTAGTGTGCAAACAGATACTAGCTACACAGAACTGTTCTCCAAATGTTTCTCGTAGCTAAATCCAATGATACGAAACAATGATCGGTATAGCAACAACTGGAGCAGCACACGAAATTGTTACCTGGTAATCTGACTTTTAGACAATTTATATAATGCGCTAAGCTCATTAGACCAACTAAAGCTAGAATAATACTCAAGAAACCACTGGGTCTCCATCACCATTATGAATTATTTTAGACAGATTCCAGTTGCTTTTCATAAAACAAGAAATCCTTGTCTGCAAATTAGTAAAACCAAGATTTTTTTATATTAAGGTCAACACAGTTAAGGGAAACCTTGCTCAAATTATCTATAAAATTCTTAAAAGTGTAACAACGCATGACTTAAAAGTATGGGACCTATACATTTATGAGTAAATACGATCGAGTAACAAGGCCTGTACTTACCTCAATTTTTTTACGACCACGCTTTTTCTTTTTCTTGCTTATCCGAATCTTCAAAGGCGGTGTTGCAGCTGGTACATGAGCGGGTGAAGGGGGAGGGGACTGACTGGGAGCCTCACTGCCCGCTCCAGTAGAAAGTGGAGTTGCATACCCGGCCGAAGATATTTGAACCGTGTGCTTCCCCATAGCACCTTTACGTTTTTTGAATGACATATTGTGAATACGGATGTCAGAAACTTCATCCTCCTGGGTTTCCGTGTCAACATCGTCGAAATCATCGTCTAAGTCTGAATTTTTCGATTAACGGGATTGCAATTATGTACCTTCCTCTCCTTTTGGGATATAAGGATTCATTATGGCGAATTCTTTCCACTTAGCATCTAACACTTTTTGAACGTCTTCTTTCGATGCATTTGGGTTTTTGTTTGCTATCAAAGGACGAACATACTGGTCAAATAGTTTTTGGATGGTCCAGTTTTCAAAGTCTTCAGTTGAGTAGGTCATCTCTACGTCATCTATCCCTAACTCTTCACATAGCTGATCAACCGTTTTTTCCTTCTAGAAAAGTAACGTAATGGCTAAGATCAAACCTTGGAAACACGATCTGAACGTCTTTTTGGTAAGACTAGAGAATCGTCCTACAGAATAAATGAACAATTTACTTGAAAGGCCTACCCTGTGCTTTAACTTTGCGCGCTTTTTAGAGTCTCTTGCTTCGGTTTTAAGTCTACGCCGCTTACCTCTTTTACTGACAGAAGATTCATCGTAATCTGAAATGAAAATTAGGATTGAATATATACAAAATAGAAACTAAGACACCACCTTCCATAGTAAATTGAAATGGTGACCGAGACTAAGAAGCAGTACAAAGTATACGATACAGTGTACAATATTCAGTAACCATTTACAACAGATGTATACTGTGGTAAATATTAACTTAATGTGAAAATTGCAACGCATAAATGTATCAATGAACATATTGTTGAACCTGGAGGTAAAGTGGGGACTCAGTTTACATATAGTTCATCTGCGACATGTTGCAGACTACAGTTACAACTTAGAAAACTCCTCTCTAGTAGTTTCCCAAGTCGAAAAAGATTTGGGAGTGTTGGCACCCTACGACCTGAAGTCGTACGATAACTGTGACAAAATCGCCTTTCAAGCAAACATTGCACTGGTAACATTGAAGCGCATTTTTGGCCAGTTTGACGGTAGAACCTTCCACATAATCTTCAATAGTTTTATTCGTCCCCATTTAGAGTACGGAAACATAGTATTTCCTCCCTCCCTCCAAAAGGATAAGGACACTCTGGAACGTATCCAACGGTGAGCCATGAAATCAGTTCGGAGACTCAAATTCAAACCTTACGAAGAGCGCCTCCAATCACTTAACCTTTACCCGTTAGAGTACAGGCGTCTTAGAGGTGATCTTCTTATGACTTACAGTATCCTTAGAACTGCTGGTCATCCCCTTAAACATCTTATTAGGCCTAGTCACAACACTAACCTAAGAGATAACACCCAGAAATTGGAGACTCAACATAGCAGAACAGACTGAAGACACAAGTTATACTCCGTAAGAGCTGTCAAATGCTGGAATTCGATGCCGACTGAGCTAATCCAAGTGACTTCCCAGGAGTCCTTTAGGAGGAAACTTGACATAACATATTATTTTGATTTACCAATTCTTTTTTTCCTCGATTATCGTTAATATACCTAGGTTCTTGCCTGGAGGTATTGGTGATTCCCTGCCACTAGACACGGGAGCCCGCTAAACGAAAGCTTCTTCTATTCCGTCCTCAACCAGTTAAACCATTTGAAAATGTGTTCTCAACCTCAGACTTCGGATACAGCAAATAAATCGCAAAAATGAATTGTTGTATGTCTTCGTCATAGATACTAACCTCATAAGTTTCACTGGACACAGTTCTAGCTAGAAGCGTTCGTTTGTAGATAGTTAAAATAAACTTATCTTGCGATTAGTTTTTGTTATTATTTGCATTTCTTCCATTAATTCTCATAATTTGTACAATTATCACTACTGGCCGTAAAATTGTTGTTTTTTGAAAAACAAAACCTTTGATCTTCTGTTCAGTTATTTAGCACCACATCGAATGACATCGATTGTCGCTCCCAAATACACTGCAGCGTACACATGCTTCCTGTTCTTAATAATCCACTGTTACGATAACGGAACTCTAACATATTGGCTGTCTGTGTCTACAGATCACAGTGATATCATCATTACATGCCTTATCTGTATAAACATCTCGGAATATAGCAATTATATTTGGAATTACTAACTACACGTAATTGTAGATTACAAGACCAAAAGAAACTCGAACACGTCTATTGCCAACAATTTAAGTAACTTTAATAGTTGAGATTATGAGACATTTGAAGCTAGACTATCATGGAAAACCTGTAAGCACTGGACGGCCGTTTCGTCACGTTGTGTGACCCCTCAGCAGTGAGCATCCATGATCCCTCCTCGCGAGCTTCGAACCCAGGATCTATCAGTCTCGTGTGCAAGAGTCTAACCTCTAGGCCACTGAGACGGCCATAAGCAGTGTCAATGTCTAACTCCAACTAATCCATGAAACTGAGCGACACATCCACCAATGTCTTCAGTTATTTACTATTTCACAACAGACCTCGTTAAACTCCATTAATCACTGCTTCTCACTAGAACTCCAGGCAATACCTCTTGAAGTCAGTCACTAGTGAGCATAAGTTGATGAATAACAATTGACTCTTGATCCCAATTATTAAAATTATTATAATATCCACAGCAACCCTTATGAGATTTAAGTAACTTCCAGTATATATTTCTTCTGTGTATAATTTATAATTGGTATATTAGGACACTAATTTTCTGCCTTGAAAACTTTGTCATTATTTTCGGAATTGATAAATTTTAATCTGTCACATTCAATAGAGCATCTGATACAAGTTATATTTGTGCACGCCTTGCAACGCATCTCTTACAGAAACTAGTCAGATTAAACCGTCTGCTTCTCAATGCATCGAATTTCTTCTGTATACACCTTTGAACCGATCTATTTTTGAATTTTGTTTTGACCTACTTCATGATACCCGTTCAAAGATGGATTACGGGTAACATTGTTGTCAAACAGTTGGTACCAATAACATATTTAGTGGTGAGCCCCGAAGTGATCTTGTGAACCAAGCGATAAACTGAGAGTATGCACCTCGTAAAGTTCAATGCATATTTTCTATATACTGTGATATTGATTTTGTGTTGTGGGATTTTTTCGCCGTATTTACAGATTTTGTTTTTATTACATTGAGACACGCCTAAATTCATAAGAATCAAGTCTCGAACACCTTATCTTGCAACTTATTCCATTCTGACCCGGCAATATCGAGGGCTGGTTCTGCTATACAGAAACGGGCTTCTACGAACACAGAAAGACAGACCTAGTTCTTCGCAGTAGCAAAGGCACTACCTGCACGAGGAGTGACAGGCGCAAGTCAGTGAAGTGGTGGTGTTAGGTGTAACATTGCTGGTTACGCACGGCAACTTATGTCGAGGTTGTTACAGTACAAGATATCCATCTTGTGCATGTTGAAAGTATAGGTGTGTGTACCTAAATTGTGTGCATAAATATGTGTAATTTGTAAACTAGAAAGGTCATTTAGAGAAAAGTAAAAAACTCATCATAGGGTGTTGACTGACAATCTAAATAATAAGTAAATTATGTGAATAAATTCCATAATTGGGTAAATTCTGTCTGGTTGAGATAACAACGATAATAATACTTCAATTATGCAGTGAGCGATTCGAATTATTTTACAGACTAGGAATTCTCGAAATAACCCTATTCAAGTTAGGCAGAACTGGCAAAACACAGACGAACTTATGGTATTTGGAATTCAAATAGTGCTAAAAAGCTCAAAAACTCAAGAGAAGCTAAGTGCGTCTTAAAATTTGTAACTGAAGAAGTAATAAAAATGGTTTTGCATTCCTACACTATGGTTGCATATAATCTACTTGACTGCATACCTGCTACTAAGCTAAGGGATGCTTGCCTTAAAGCATGCAGCATGCTGGACATCGACTATCGGTTTACCTGCCTTAAAGGTATCAAATCAATCATATCCTCTAATGTTTAAGTTTGATTGTTGTTAAGATACCAAGGAACTTATTGATTCTGGTAAAAGTATTGAATCGTTGACCTGACGCCTTGCGAAAGTATTGTAAGAGAACGTGAAGTGACGGGATAGAGTGGTCATATAGCACGGTGCAACCAGCTAAAGACAACTGACCGAGAAAATAGTATTAAGTGCTCCTATTATGAGCGCTATGTGGCTAAAAATGCGACAGATGTTGATCATGAGAATAGAAATCTCTGAGTGGGATGACAGAGGTAACTGATTTTTACAGTTCTAATCCGACCTGCTTGGACAATGGAGCACCTGAATATGAAACACATGATGACCCACAGAAAACTAAACCAACAAAATAGAAGCTGGTCCTCCTAGTAATATTGAACTTGAATAAATTTCGTAAAATCACCTTAAGGCACAGGGACACTCGCTACCTCATAAAGTCGTGTACAGACTGAATCACCGACATCGGTTAAAGGAATAGAATAAGCATAACTCAGTTCCTTCAAAACTGTGCCAACAGTCGCAAACGGATTCTCTCCTCTGGCATCATGTAATCTACCCCCAACCTCTTTAGGTGGAAAGACATGATAAGTACAGAGTAAATCAAATTTCAAAGACACTGACTTATAATAATTATCAAAGTACTAGGAAAACTTAACTCACCAAGGCTTAGATCTATTAAGAAGTATGATAATAAAGGACTGCTCACTACGCTATTCTCAATCCTCAGAGTCGTAATCATATTTAAAGAACACTCAGTCTCTCCTCTTTTAACTTATATCGAACCGATAAAGGTTGTGAAGTCTTCTTTACTCGAGATACTCCTTCCTATTTCAATTTCTTTCGCCATTTGTTCAGTGTGAGTCTTATCATCATTTATGTGATGTGTCATAAAAGGATAGATTTAGCCTTGTCTTCATCTCATTGTCGACCGTCGCTTATTATGACTGTTGAAACATGGACAACTAGCGATGTTTCCGGTTTAAACATATGTCTTGACGGCTATAATCTCTGTCGAAGTAATAAGCTACAAGAACCTACAAGGTGTAGGCTGTCTTATGTATTTCCACTCTTGCATAAATGCACTCTAACGTAATATCCCAGGATTAAACAAATTACAAGATTCTGTGTGGAGTGTTCTGAAATCTCCAAAATAAATTACTTTTTCCACTTTACTCACCAGTATAACCCATCGACAGGGTAAATGCATATATTGACCTTCACGTTAGCTTCATCTCTACCAGTCTTAGGCATGGTTCTTTGAGGGTGCTTCAACATACGAGAAATGCATCGGTTTTTTTCAAAACAACGAAACATTTTGAGCCATTTATTGAGTGCTTAGGGCTTGGATAGTGGACTCAGTACCCCTACCCGACATCTGAATATTTTGAATCTGGTCTTTTTCAGCAACCTTACTCCCGATACTGTGTATATTAAAAAGTTTCTCATGTGGTGATCATACCATTGTCATCTGTAGTCTTGTTATAAAAGCCACATATGAAACGTAAGACCGTCTCACTTTTCAGATTTTCCCAAAGTTGTTTGGATAAACAATGAACTATTGAATGAGTGATCTGCTTCAATAATGACATTATTGATAAAATAACCAACGTTTTCCGTCACAACCTATGACATAATTTCACTTACAGGGTCCTGGAGACCTGGAGTGTCAAGGGCTCTGTATTTAAAGATCCT